CAGTAAGTTCTTGGGAAAAACAGGTTCATCAATTTTATCAGCATTTGTTTTTCTGTCTTGTGAGTTCTTGAGAATCTTTAACACACAGTAAGTAAAAATGCAGACACTACAGTGTGGTGACTCATCCACGTGAGATGAACGCACACTGCTTAATCTGCTTTAGGGGCTCTGTGTGCTCTCGCCAGCTGCACAGAATATATTATATATATATTTCAGTAATATATATATATATCGCAAAATCAGACTGTTGCAGTCACGATAGCTCTTAAGTCCCATAAAATTAGGAAAAATTGTAGTTACTTGAGAGCAAGCCGCAACGTGCTTTCAAAGGCACACACATCTTAGCAACTGTGCTAACTCCAGCAGCACGAACGTCTCCCTGAGACCATGCTGATATAAAAGTCAAACCCCCTGAACGTGGGTGTCAGTTTGGAGGTCTGGTTAATCTATGGGGCCTCTGGTAGTGGATCAGTATTTATCCGTAGTACACGAATGGACTTTGGGAGCCCATTGTACACAGAGGGACACTCTCTAGGTCTACACACATGGGGTCAGGTCTAGGCCCTGCTGCAAATGATGTGACAGACTTTGAAGATCCCCCATGGAAGGCCTCACCCTCCCTGGGGAGCAGAAATGGGATGGGATAGGGGGCTGGTGGGGGGCAGGGGAGGAGGGGAGGGAGAGGGAACTGGGATTGACATGTAAAACAAGCTTGTTTCTAATTTAAATTAAAAAAAAAGGAAAAAATCAAACACTTACATTGATATATTACATGTTATGGCCCCAAATTCTTCTCAGTTCTGTGAAGTACAGAGGAAATCACCAGGGAGGATGGTTTTCTATAGAAATATATTACTTCCTTGAGCATCAGTGTGAAAATTTAAGACTTGGCATTTTCTGTTTTTCTGGACTAGCGTATGTGTCAAACGGGCATGCCCTGCCCTATAAGAACGCCACAGAAGTGTACAATTCTAAAAGCAGCTTTCGCGCATTCAATGAATATTAGTAATAAAACTTTAATAGTCAAAGAATTACAGTATCCTGCTATACTATTTGTTATACAAAACCGTAAATATCTTACTATACAGGATAGCTAGACACAGTAGCTTTAAAAGTATTCACGTATTTATTTCGTGCGTAGCACGAGTACAGGTGCACACATGCCACAGCACGTGTGTGGGGGCCAGAGGAGAGCCTGCAGGGATCTGTTCTCTCCTAACAAGCTGTGGGATCTGGGGGCCAAAGTCAGGCTGTGTGCTACCTCACATACACCCTCTCTTTCAGTGACTATAGCTGCTTTACAGAATTATGTTTGGTTTTGGATATGCATTTCAGAAATGCCTCCGAGCTCTAAGCAACCTGCCTTGGAAAGCTGAAAAAGGCTGTGAAGGTTTCTAAAGTGAATGGCAATAAGCTAAAAAGCCGGCAGGAAAGGTCACCCCAGGTGTGTGTGCTTTTCCCCTTTTCTCTGGGCGGGGATATCGTTGAATGTCTGAGTTCTCTGCACTTTCCATCGTACAACACTGACCCCCGTCTCTACTCTTTCCTCAAGGGCAATGCTATCTTCATTAGAAAGTGTCTGAAGCTATAGGGAAGAAGGTGAAACCAGTGAGCCCAGAAAAAGCCAAAGAACTGGTTCTTGAAAGATTAAGCCGTTTACACATCAAGAAGATCAATGACTAAGGGAGAGGTTGGATCAAGCTGTAGGGATTAGGGCTTACGAAGGACACAAAGTAATGCTTACAGCCATAATTTTAAGATTGCACGTGGGAAACTTTTACATAAAAAGGGTACAACCGAATCCAGTGATTGTTACACCCAACAAGGGTTGTTCCACCCAAACCCAGAGGTCAAATGGTGCAAAAAAGAACTAGCTAACAGTATCAATAATTTTTCTGTCACATGGTGCCTATATTAAAATCAAACACAGGTTTCTTTAAAAATGTTGGGCGTTGGTGATGCATGCCTTTAATCCCAACACTCGGGAGGCAGAGGCAGGCTGATCTCTGTGAGTTCAAGACCAGCCTGGTCTACAGAGTAAGTTCCAGGACAGGTTCCAAAGCTACACAGGGAAATCCTGTCTCAAAAAAACCAAAACCAAAACAAAAAGTTTTTAGGTTTTAAAATATTTTTGTGTATAACTTTTTTGGATGTATGTACATGTTTGTGCTGGTGAGCATGTGCATACATGTATGTAGCAGTCAAAGGCTGATTTGGCTGCCTTTCTTAATTGCTCTCCACTTTTATTTTTTGAGACAACCTGGAGCTCATCAATTCAGGTAAGCTGGTTCATCAGTGAGCTTTCGGGTCTGCTTGTCTCCCCCCGCCACACCCACATGTTGGAGGGACAGATGCTGCCACACCTGGCTTCTCCATGGGTGCTGGGATCTAAACTCAGGTCCCTTTGCTTGCTCAACAGGCATTTTGCTGACTGAAGCAGCTTTGCAGCCCAGAGCTTTGTTTATACACGGAATAATTATATGAAGGTTAATAGTAGATTTTATTGTGTTTCTCATATTTCACCTTATTCCTTGCTAAACATTTTGGAGATGTGGCAGTAGTTCAATACAAAATTATAGGGTCTAGTATATCTTCAGTTGCAGATTCCTGCTCATGTCTCTAAGTCAAACACTGCTTCCCTCTTGGCATAATAAGTTACAAAAGTACAGATAAGACAGTTGTCTATGAGCATTTATTACTAGGCATATGATACTGTGAGTAAGCACAGTTACTGATATTTTCTGTCAGTGACCAAAATATTTATACATTTAATAAAGTAGAAAAACCTTTTAAAAATTAATAAGATATTTGTCATGAACTGCCAATTCAACCGGAACACTGAATAGTAGAAATAACAAAAGATTTGTTCTTAGGGTTGATTAAAAATTTATATCAGAGCATTCAAGTAAAGTTATTTTCTGTGTTCTGATTTAATGAATCATGTGAGTTGTATCTGGTTGGGTGACACAGATTCTGGCTCACTGAAGCCAACCTAATCCTTCCCACACACCTGGGGACAGGGAAAGCACATGTCAGACCAAAGTCATGGCAAAGAAAGAGAGTATGGAGATTCCTCAGGAAAATGGGAATCAGTCTACTTCAAGACCCAGTAATTCCACTCTTGGGCATAAACCCAAAAGATGCACATTCATACAACAAAGATGTCTGTTCCACTATGTTCACAGCAGCATTATTTGTAATAGCCAGAAGCTGGAAGCAACCTAGATGCCCCTCAACTGAAGAGTGGATAGAGAAAATGTGGTACATTTACACAATGGAGTATTAGTCAGCAGAAAAAAAAAATGGAATCTTGAAATTTACTAGAAGAAACCATCCTGAGTGAGGTAATTAACCCAGATACAAAAAGACAAACATGATATGTACTCACTCACATATGGATTTTAGACACGGAACAGCCTACAATTCCACTGCCACAGAGTCTGGGAAACAGGTAGATATGCATGGCACCCCAGAGAAGGGGAATGAGGCAAGATCTCCTGAGCAGATTGGGCGCATGGGGGGGGAGGTGAGAGGGAGCCAGGAAAAAGAGAGGGGGAGAACAGGACATGGGGGAGCAGGAAGGCTGAGTCAGGGGAAGAATAGAGGAGAGCAGGATGAGAAACACCATAATAGAGTCATTATAGGTTTGAGGAGAGATCTGGCACTAGTGAGATTTCCAGAGATCTACAAGGATGACACCAACTGGCAAACTAAGCAACAGTAGAGACACTACCTTAAATGCCCCTCCCTAATAATGAGTTTGACTACTTCCTTGTATGCCATCCTAGAACCTTCATTCAGTGATTGATGGAAGCAGAGGCAGACACCCACAGCTAAACACTGAACTGAACTCCTGGAACTCAGTGACAGAGATGGAGGAGTGATGAGCAAAGGGGTGAAGACTGGGCTTGTTTAGCCCACAGAAACAGCTGACCTGAACAGGGGGAGCTCTTGGACCCCAGACTGATGGCTGGGAATCCAGCGTGGGACTGATCCAGACCCCCTGAATGTGGGTGTCAGTGAGGAGGCCTAGGCAATCTATGGGGCCTTGGGTAGTAGTTCAGTATTTATCCCTGGCATACAAAAGTTTGGGTGCCCATCCCACAATATGGGATGCTCTCCCAGCCTGAACTCTTGGGGGAGGGCCTAGGCTCTGCCCTGAACAAAATGACACTCTGGATATCGCCCATGGAGGGCTTCACCCTCCCTGGGGAACGGAGTGGGGATTGGGTTGGGGGCTTGGGGGATAATGGGAGGTATGGGAGGAGGAGAGGGAGAGGGAGCTGGGACTGACATGTGAAACAACCTTGTTTCTAATTTAAAAAAGAAAGAGCGGAGCTGGAGACGCCCTGAGGTGAACTGTGAGCATCCCTAAATTCTCAATTGCCTGTGGGCTTCAACACTTAATACACACTCAGAAGCAACAGTGATGCAGAGGTGAATACAGGAGTCAATGACCAAACCCACACGCAGCAGCAGTAATGAATGATTTCAAAAGGTCTTCCAATTCATGCTAAAAACCACCATATCCAATAAATGCCTCTAAACCTTTTGTAAACAGCCTAGAAACCACCAGTGGTTTCTTAAAAGATGAATATTAAATATACTTGGGTAGTATTTAGCTCCTTTCAACCTGTTAGATTCTAAAATGTACATTTACAAAATAAAACTTATCCACTACTATTGAAGACAAGGTATGCCAAAAAACTAAACACATGCAAAAACACAGATATAAAACAATGGCACTCATCCAGTCTTAGGAGAGCAGACATTAACTGAAATGTAAGGACTATTGTATAAACCTTGCATACGGGATGTTCTCTAATAAAAGACAAATAATAGTTAAGACAACTACTAGGTTTTCTTAAGATGGTAGAGACACAAAGAAACAATTACACTGTCTCAAAATAAGGAAACGACATTCTCCAAGGCAGTGTGCAGATCAGGGACTGTCCTGACACAACTGTTCACTTAGAGATGGAGTCTGAGTGAGCACTTACAATGTCAGCAGCACCACAGCGATTAAAGTCCATTCCACGGGCTTGTGTATGATGTTCCGATTTGACAATCTGAAAGACATCAAGATTTACCTTGAATTTTAGCTCTTGATAAGAATTATGATTTAATGTGCCAAAGAGATAGTTCTTTATTTATTTTGTTTTTTGAAACAGGATTCCTCTGTGTAGCCCTGGCTGTCCTGGAACTCAACTCTGTAGACGAGGCTAGCCTCATACTCACAGAGATGTGCCTGCCTCTGCCTCCTGAGTGCTGGGATTAAAGGTGTGCACCACCGCTGCTTAGCTAAGGTAGTTCTAGGTACTCATTCTATTTCACAGGGTAGCGTCAGTGGTGTAATAATGCAGTTGTTATTTGGGGTTTGATACCGACAGTCACCCGTCTCAGTTTGAACATGCCAAGGTTACTTAGCTTCCAAGATGGTACAGCAGCAGACAGTAACAGCCTCAACAGGAAGCATTCCAGCCCCACTGTGACACACAGCGACAGTATTATTAGACAGAACAGGATTATGAGAGTCACAGTGTAAAAACATTCTCCAGCACTTCCTAAGAGTTGCCATAATTTACAGGACATGAATGCTCACTCACCAAACTGTAAGAACAGGTGTTTGCTAGAGAAGTTTTTGTCAATACCTAATAAATCTGGAATATATATATGAGTACCTTACAACTACATAAAGACCTAAAAGTACTTTTATTCATGACCTATTAAAACCTTTAACAAAATACTATTTATAACAGAGGGAAATACATTGTAGCACATTTAGAATATTGAATTGTAGACGAAAAGTTTCTGTTCTGCCTGGTCCCCCGCCCTTCAGGCCCCAATAAATACACAGACTTTTATTAATTAGAAAACTGTTTGGCTAAATGGCTCAGGACTCTTATTGGTTTAGTGCTGTCTCCCATAACTACGACTCTATGCATTCTACGTGGTTTATCTTACTGGAGAACTGCCGTCCTATCTTCCTGGTAGCTACACAGCATCTCTATTGGCGGCTCTCTCCTGCCTCCTCCCTCCCACCCCTCCACACTTCCCTTGGTCTCCTAGCCCCGCCTATACTTCCTGGCTACTGGCCAATCAGTGTTTTATTCATCAACCAGTAAGACAAACACATATACAGAAGAGGACCCCCCCCGTCACTGAACAGCTAAATATGAATGACGCGGATTTATATCTGCCAGACAGTCATTTTGTGAATGAAACCAAATACGGCCTGGCATTGTTTTCGCTAATCAAGAATGGGCAACACTAAGCACTGTCTGTGGACGCATGCAGAGGGCACAAAAGAGAAAACCAAAGATTACACAGACACGCACTTCACGGGACAGGTGCTCACACCGTCTTCCTCAAAGTCCCTCCTCAGAGACAAGCATCCCTGAGAAGAAACCCCTGCATCCTTCACCTGTTTATCCCAGGTGCCCAGAACAAGTAGTTTACAGTCTTAACATCTGAGTGAAACTTTAAAACCTTAAAACCTATTAACCTGTTTTATCAATCTGGATTTTCTCTGTGGTTTAGGATTTTTTTTAAACTGATCAAAAAGCCTAGCTATAAAACGGAAATACAGTATAAAGTCAGCTGACGTGGGTATCAGCCCAGCTCTGTCACTTACTGGTGCTGTAGACTCCAACACCTACTAATAATAGTATATAAATAACATATGATATATATGTGCATCTTTGATCCTGACACTGGAGAGGCAGAGGCACGGGAATCTCTGTAAGTCAGAGGCTAGCCTGGTCTATAGAGCTATTTCAAGTCTCTCTCTCTCTCTCTCTATATATATATATATAGAGAGAGTTCCTGTCTCAAAAACAACAAAAAGAAAACGAACCAAACTTTGAACAACTGATACAGAAAACTCAACAGAATACTTTTCCTCATAGTCTTCTACAAAGATCGAGTGTACGGATGGCACACTCTGCCAGGTCCTCTCCCCTCTCCTGCCAGCCGGCTCTGATACAGATGAACAGAGCCGTCCCTCCACGGATAGTTTCTACCTAACCTGGAGCACCTGGGCTTTCTGTGAGAACACTTCCCTTTGGCGATTTTATCTTATCCCGTCTTACAGCACCCAGACAGCTAAGGGCTGACACTCTCAAACCTTCCAGCTCTAGTCAGTCTCTGTATGGGATGGCTTCCTTGGCACATGTGACATGCACACACACCTCCTAATCTTTCCTAAAAAGCTCCACAACTGGAGACCAAATATTCAACCGTATGAACCCATGGGGGTCACTGTCATTCAAACCACCAGAGATTTTGTTTTTAGCTCCAAGTATTTCTAGTACATTAGCATAATAGCAAAGGTCCACTTGTTTTCATGTTGCTGATCCAAAAAGTCTCTAGTATACATGCAAAATAAATGTATTTACTACTAATACTTTAAAAAAAAAGAACTAAAAGGGACTGGAGGAATGGCTCAGGGTTTTACAAACACTGGCTGTTCTTTCCAGAGGACTGGGGTTCAGTTCCTAACACACACATCATGTGGCTCATGTATTCCCAGTTCCAGGAGACCCAGCGCCCTCTTCTGGCTCCCTTGGGCACACATTATTTAAAATGTACACACATTTAGAAAAAAGTCTTGATTCATCATAGATGCAATTAATTTCAAGAGGATTTTAGTGGCAGAAGAGACAAGGGTTTTAATCAGTATCTGCTCGGACAAGCATCTTGACCGTCTGGTTGGAGCACGTCCTGTGCTGTGACAGGTGAAACAGACATAGCCCAACTGGGGTCGGGTGGGAGTGGGGGTGGGGGCGGTGGGCAGCGCTCTACTCAGGCGAGAAAGGCTCTTCAGAGAGCCCGAGCCAGGCTCTCAACTCTGCACGATGGAATCACCTAGGGGGCTTTTAAGCTATCCTGCTGTCTGAGCACAAACCTAACAATTCAAAGGAGACCTGGTCTCCGGGGCCCAGGCCACACATTTATAGCTGTTAAATGGTTTAGGGATGGCTGTTCTACAGGTTCTTAGATCATTTCAAAGAGAAAACCGCAGTTATTCCTGTCAACTCTCTCCCACTATCTGTATTCACTGCCAGCAGTGGGCCATGCTTACAGAAGAAACACAGACTATAGGGCCACACTTTCTCATCCTCCCTGGGGGCCCCTGACATACCCTTGAAGGCAGTCAGGGAAACTTAAGAGCTATAGACTTCTGACCCACAGGCTTTAGAGGACAGACTGTGAAAAATAACTTACTCAACACCAAGTTGTCTTGGGAGCAGGATTCTACAGTATCCCCTACCAAGATAATGTTAACTTTTGGGCTTGTTTTTCACAGATGTCTTTATTAAATTCCAAGCATCTGTAAAAGTAGAGAAAGCAAAAACTAAGCTCTTGTATACTACTCATCATTCCGATGACAACCAACTCCTGACCACCCGTGTTTCACGTTCACACCCCCATAATTACCATCACCCCTACACTTGATAAAATGATGCTACTGACTTAAAATTACCCAAGTCTTTAACTTATGCCATCAACGAAAAATGTGATTGGGAGGGATCTAGCTGCAAAACAGGGATGACAGAAAAAGTGACAAAACAAGTTTGTACATTAAAATGGACAAATCAAAGTCCCCACACAGCTGCAGTCTGCTCATTAGGAATGAAGAACCATGTGTCTCCTGCCCTGGCTAGCTCAGGTGTCAGGAGAATGAAGCTTGATGGGTAACTCGAGTTACATAGTAGATTTCCTTACAAAACCTTCCTCAGTAATCCCATTAGGCTCTTTGGGTTTGAAAGTGTTGGTGAAGTTACCGGTTTTCAACCTTAGAAGGACTCAAGTATATCCCAGCTGCTCCTATGATGTGTGTGTGAGGAAACCGGACAGACTCGGACTGGACACCGGTAAAGTTGCCAATCCAGGGAACAAATGACTTAAGGGGGATTTTGTATGTCTTCTAAGAGGTCAAAACTGGGCCTTATGCACGCCAACCACAACTCCACCACTGAACCATACTCCCAGGCCACACAGCAGACTGACTCTACATGTTAGCTCTAACAACAGTTCTTCATGAGGGTTCCTGAAAGAACATCTTCAGGGACCTGCAAGGCAACTTTCTACCACCAAGAACATGTGTGATGATTCTCCAGTTTTACTGAGGGACGATGGGTAAAATTGTATGTAAGTGACTACATATATTTACCAGATGATGGGTAAAACTGTATGTGAGTGACTATTATATTTACCAGAAGAAATCTGGGTGACCAGCACACCTCTCACCCCATGCAGTTTCCTGTGTGTATGTGTGTGTGTGTGTGTGTGTGTGCAATAACACACCTACTCTTTCACCATTCCGAGCCCACGGTGGAATACAGGAACCCTCAGCAGCTGGTAAGGTGCTTAAGGCACAGATTGCCTCTGAATGTGTTCAGGGCCTAAACCCAGGAAGCAGATTGACACTGTTGACTAAGTGTCTGCTTGTAGCAGAGCTAAGTTATAGGAAGAGGGGACTGAAGAAGACAGGGAAGGCAAGTGGAGGGAAGCACTGCCCTGGGGACAGACCTGGCCTTACTCCGGTTCTAACAGGCAGCTCACAGTCTAGCTCCATCTGGTGAATCAACTCAGACACAGTACCACACCCTGCATGCTTCCCTCAAGCTAAACTAAGTTAAGCTGCCTTGTTCCGCTGCCCTTGTCAAGACTTGCTGAGGGCCAAATAATAGAGTGACGACCCCCACACAGCAGTGCAGACCCTGCGTGCGTGTGTATGTATGTGGGGAGGTCACAGGACAATTGGGTTTAGTGTCTCAGGTGTCAGCCATCATTTCTAGGTCAGGGTTTCCCTCCGGCCTGGAACTTGCCAAGTAGCCTAGGCTGGCCGGCCAGCAGGTCAAAGGGCCGTCTCCCCTCCCCAGGGTTGAGATTATTAGCATACACACTATGCTAGCTTTTTCATTTTTTTTTAAACTTAGCTTTTGGGGACTTGTGGTGGCTTGAATAGGAGTGGCCTCCAAAGACTCATGTGTTTGAATGCTTGCCCAGGGGGAGCGGCGCTATTAGGAGGTGTGGCCTTGTTAAAGAAGTGTGTCACTGTGGAGGAGGGCTCTGAGGTCTTACATGCTCAAGCTAGGCCTAGCGGGACAGTCTCCTGTGGCCTGTGGATCCAGATGTACGTCTCTCAATTATGTCCCCAGCACCGTGCCTGCCTGTGTGCCATCATTTTTGCCGCCATGACAATATGGACGAATCCTCTGAACTGTAAGCCGACACCTCAATTCAATGTTTTCCCTGTGTAAGAGCTGCTGTGGTCGTGATGTCTCTTAACATTACAAGGCAGCATTCTGCTGACAGAGTCATCTCGCCATCCTGCAATTTTACTTTATAAGCAAGCTATCCAAAGTAAACCTATGTCCAAATTTGAGCCAGAAGGAGCTATACTCAATAGAAAACAACAAGTAATTTTAGAGGAGGAGAAAACAGCACTGAGTTTACAATGTGAGCCCACAATGGCGAGACACGTACTTTCCTGTCTCAGTCCACCTATAGACTGTGCAAGGTTCAACACGGTCAAAATAACAGAAAAGGAAAAAAAAAATCACAAAATTAACACTAACCTGAAAGTCTGCACAAGGTTTTTAAGTTCAGAGTAAACATCGCCCATTGTAATCTGAAGAGGACCCAAAAGTCCAGGTAACCTGAAAAGAAAAAACAACAACAAAATTACACGTTACTTATAGCTAGAAGTTCATTGTTGTGTGGAAACACTTCAGTGGGCATGCCTGCCTCTGGGTCCCTTCCCAAGGCCACCAGTGACACTGGGACAGAAGTGGAAGTTAAGCTGCCTTATGACTCCTGGGAGGTCAAAGGAGCGTTCTCCTAACTCCAGCCCTGTGTCCCTGCTGCACAGCATAAGCCCTGTGACGCAAAGCCACCCTGGCTGCTGCCTGTGACTCTTTCTGTCCCTAGGTTTTTGTTTTACATGAAGAGCAACCTGTCCTCACTTTAATTCCATAGTTTTAATATGAAATCATTATCCTTTGAATAATCACATAAACACTATTCCAACAAACACAAGAAGATACCTGTAGAAATATTTTAGCGAGAACTTGAAGATAAACACAACAGTAGGTGATTTATATAACAGATACATTTAGTGACCCATTTAAAAAAACTTTAAAATAGTACAGATTATTTTTGAAAATGGTAAATGTTTGCAAACTCTTGACATTATGTCATTGGACCCTCATTTTCACTCATCTCTCTAAATACAAGGGTATTTTTTAAAAAAATATATAACTATAACAACATCACCATTCCTAACCATTTACTTTTTTCTGGTATTAAAAAAAGAAAAGTCAGCCCAGGAAAATGGCATTTCAAAGCCCTTCTTCCCCCGGTCCTCTGGCGCGTAGAATCTTCCTGCTTCCTCTTCCACAGTGCCCCTCAGCCTTGGTGGTGGTGGTGGTGGGGTGCTGTTTAGGGCTTGGTCAGCACTCAGCCATCACCTCCATTAGCTAAAACATCTAGGAAATCATTTCCAGTGAAATCCCTATCTTCTAACTACGGAGCTGAAATGATAATCCATCCCACCACTCAATACCCGAATAAACCAAGTTAAGTTTGACATTGTCTTGCATTGTATCAGATAGGTGGTGACTTATACAGAGTTGTTTCACATACAAGACAAGTGTTGATATTAGTTAAAGACAAACAAACAAACAAACCAAAGAACAACAAGCAAGGGGCTGCAGAGACGCACACACAAGCATAGGGACCTCGGGAGGAGACAGGTCTATCGTTGGGCTCAGGGTCCAGCTACTGTAGCCTAGTGCGTTAGTCCTAGGTCCCAGTGAGATCCTGGCTCAAGAAACACGGTGGACGACTCTTTGGAAATAATATCTGAGGTTGGCTTCTGGCCTCCATGCCCACATACATGGACCTGCACGCATATGAATATATACATAGATTCTGTACATATACATTCAAAACACACACACACACACAGCAGAATAAAAGTCACATCTATCTGCAGAGCCTGACAGAAGGACATGCTCAACAAACATTTATGTAATGACTAAGAGTAGTTCTTCGTGATCTTTTTTTTTTTTTTTTTAAGTTGAACCAAATCAAGACACAATGGCAGTACTTCCTTAACCCCAGCCCTCCGAGGCAGAGACAGAGGCAAATAGATTTCTGTGAGCTAGATGCTAGCCTGGTCTACACAGTGAGTTTCAGGCTGTTTCCAAAAGACCACAAACCAAACCAACAAACCAACTAACTAAAGATGCCCATGCTAATCAAAAAGGATTTCAGGTGTGGCTTAGAAATATGTCTTTTAAAGTGAAATAGCTGTATTTCTCATTATATCACCAATAGTATTTTATATCTTGACGGCTCAAAAATATTATGCTTCCAGGAAATGTTTTTCCTCTTTTCAAAACACTACAAAACTAAGACTTGTCTATTTATAACTCCTTAAACAGTGATTGATACCCTTCATATTTTCCTGATAAATGAAAAAATGCAGGTTTAAAAGTTCAAGGTTGACTTTATACCTATGGAAAAAAAATTTAGAAACTTCCCCTGTCTTGGAAAAAACAAACAAACCAAACCAACAACAATAAAACAGAAACAAGAGTAACTTTTTTTTTTTTTTTTTTTAAAGACAGGGTTTCTCTGTATTGTTTTGGAGGCTGTGCTGGAACTCGCTCTATAGACCAGGCTGGCCTTGAACTCAGAGATCCCCCTGCCTCTGCCTCCCAAGTGCTGGGATTAAAGGCGTGTGCCACTACCGCCTGGCCAGAAACAAGAGTAACTTTAAGTGTTATTTGTGTCTGGGCTAACTTTAAGAGCAGTCTTTTCCATCACAGGATGTTTCAAGACAAAGTGCAAAGCTGACCTGACTGAACCCATGTTCTTGAGTGAGTGTGAGGTGGGCCTATGGTATGTTGAGTGACTGAACCCATGCTCTTGAGTGTGAAGTGTGCCTATGGTATGTTGAATGACTGAACCCATGCTCTTGAGTGTGAAGTTGGTCTATGGTATGTTGAACTGACTGAACCCATGCTCTTGAGTGTGAAGTTGGCCTATGGTATGTTGAGTGACTGAACCCATGCTCTTGAGTGTGAGGTGGGCCTTTGGTATGTTGAACTGACTGAACCCATGCTCTTGAGTGTGAAGTTGGCCTATGGTATGTTGAGTGACTGAACCCATGCTCTTGAGTGTGAGGTGGGCCTTTGGTATGTTGAGTGACTGAACCCATGCTCTTGAGTGTGAAGTTGGCCTATGGTATGTTGAGTGACTGAACCCATGCTCTTGAGTGTGAGGTGGGCCTTTGGTATGTTGAACTGACTGAACCCATGCTCTTGAGTGTGAAGCGTGCCTTTGATATGTTGAACTGACTGAACCCATGCTCTTGAGTGCGAAGTGGGCCTATGAGTATGCAGACGGGCTGTGGCGATGTCCAGCGACATGACTGTTCACCACAGAGCTGAGTTTCCTTGGCTTGCTTCAACAGCTCTCTCTGTTTGCTGGCTTAGCACAGCATTGTGTGTTTTGTTTTTCTACTCTATAGTCTCAGTTTTCCCCTTTATGTATTATCTACAAAAAGAACTTGGTACTGAAAGTATCTGGAAAATTTTCGTGAGGAAATTCATGCAAGCTTGTCATAAAAAGAAAAAAGTTCAGAATTCATAGGTGCTTATAAACTGCGAACTCGTAACCCATCCATACTCACACTTTGCTCAATTTTTCAAGAACAATCCGTTTTCTAATCTGGTTCTGGGAACTTGAATCAATCAGTGGGAAGCTGGGATCACGCTGAAACACATTCTTAAACAAAACAAACAGAAATAAAGTGGTTTTTTTCTCTTTATGAGTAGAGCAATAATAGAAAAGTTCATTCCTCTAGCATAGAAACAGACTTAAGAATTAATACATTTCATCATCATCAGGCTGAGGAACCCGCCTGGTCCCTCTGCAAAATGCTAGCTAATAATAAATGTACTTTTACAATAAATGTACACTCAAGGGTTAACATCAACAATTACTAGAATTCATTCATGGGAAAGTCCTGTTTTCAGAAAAGATCATTCAAACAAACTGGGAATGAGAGAGATGAAAGGAAAAACAAAACGAAATAAACACACTTCGCTTGTTTGAAAGCATCACAGAATGAGCAAGGTAGTGCAGATTTTGGGTTGAGTTCCCGGAAAGGGTAACTCAGGAGAGTGCACAGGCGAATCCTGGAAGAGGTGATTCTTTTTTCTAACAGAAATGACAGGTCAGGGTTATAGGTCATGCTCCCCCAGTGGAGGCAGGCTTGGAAGGAGCACACACTGGGAGCCAGACGGAATAGGAGAAAGGCTGACTTTTGAGGACCGCTGTCATCACTAAGTCACCTCAACTCCTGATCAGGTTATGGCAATGTGGGATCCCTCCTAGAGGATAACAACATCCTGCCTCTCAGGCTAGGGTCTCCTATGTGCATCAGACAGACTTAAACTCATGATCCTCCTGCCTCAGCCTTCCAAACACTGGGATTACAGGCATGTATCACTAAGCTCAGTTTGCAAAATGTTTGATATCTAATAAAATAAGATAATAAAAGCCAGGAGCATTACTCCATCAAAGTCAGGGATTCAGATAATGAAATTATATCACTGCTAAATGATATACTGTATGAGCTATAGAAAGTTAACATCTTCTAAGAAAAATGACAGTTGACAATTCTAGCAGACAACTGGAACTATATGAAAGAGTCAAGCATTTAAAAGCACTCATTGGACAGGGAGCTGCAGAGCCACATTCCCCAGGTGACTTCATAACTGGTGTCCATCATGCAGCGCAATCCCTGGGGATGCAGCCATAGCGGCTGGGCCTCTGACGGGAGCGAGGGAGCTGTGAACATTTCCCCGCTGAAGGCCCACACCAGCGATTCTGGCTCCACTTCTGCCCCTCTGGCCTCCCAGCTGCATGTGGTCTTGGCGCTAGAGCACGTAAGAGGCAGAAGGCTGGCTGGTGTTGGTGAGCGTCACCCAGTGCAAGACTTTCCAGCCATGCAGCCGTGGCTGCCCAGCCTGTTAGTGATCCTAGTAAGCGCGGTCTTGCAAAGCTGGACCTGGACGGACTTTCCTTGGGCTGCTGGTCCCTGTTCAAGGTGAAGAGAAATTTCTTCTCCCTCGGTTGGCTCAGAGCTCATGGGACATATCCCCGGGGACCCATGGGACTACTGTCCTTATGCGATGGCACAGTCCTCAGTAATGAAAGAATGAACTACAGGGACACGCGATGACACAAACACATAAAAACCGAGCCAGACCAAACAGTATTCTATGAAACAAGCTGGAGAGCAAAGAATACAGCCTGCTCAAAATTGGCAAAAGTGATCTGTACTGTAGGGCAGCGATTCCGGGAGAGGCAATGGTCAGGGCAGTCACCAAGGCCATCCACTTTCCTTATAAGGAAGCACCCTGGTCTGTGTGCTCACTGTAAACACTCAAAAATCTGTACTCTTGCTGCTGAATGCCAACGAAGAAAGCGGCAAACCGTTCTACGGGGCGGCCAGACTTCAGACACTGGCTTTTCCTTTCAAGGCTTCTTAGTGGAAGCTGTGAGTGGAGGTAAGGCTTTTGCGGCTCTCTGGAAGAGACCAGTGTTCCTCTGAGCTTAATGCAAGTTTTGGATGCTACCTAATAATGATACTGTGGTTCCAAGTATGGCGGGAGGCTAGGCGAAAGTTCTGTAAAGATCCAAAGTTTCTGTATGCTTCTCTTTCTACCTTCCCTCTCCAAATCTCCAAGTGTGACTTTAATCTGAGGGCAACATCACTCATAACTCCTTTAATAATAGAGTTTTATGCTAAATTAAGACGATTATCCACTCTTCTCTCCACGCCATAAGACTTCCCGGGCAGCACATATAAACCAGAAGTATACAATGGAAATATTACAGACTCCTTCCTACACCTCAGCAGTGCACAGTCTATGTATAAGGATTTTGTACAGTTATGTCACACACTCTGAACAAAAAACAATGGCGGCTACTCAAAAGTCCCATGTACAGACAACAGACTCAAAGAACCAAGCTTTTAAAAAGCTAGCAGATGACCGGGTGGACCTCGTGTGTATTCGTTACTGCCCAGTAAATCCCTTTTCTATGGTATTTTCACCTGTAACCTTTCATCTTTTGTGTTTGTGAGGTGTGTCTCCCTACGCATGCGTGTGCGCACTTGTGGGCATGCGGAGGTCAAAGGTCAATGCTGTCCGACTTCCTCTATCATGGTCCTCCACCTCAGTTTGTAGACAGTCTCTCTCTGAACTTGGAGGCGTTTCTTCTAGACTGGCTGATCAGGGAGCCCCTGGTGTCCCTGTCTCCGCCCCTCCCCTTGCCTGGCCGTGGATAACAGATGTATGCCACTGTGCCTTCAGTCCATGAGTGCCGGGAATCCGAACGTGGCTCCCCAGGCTTGGGTAGCAAGTACCTTCTCCAGTGAGCCAACTCCCTAGCCACGCCTGTAACGATTCAGAAGGATGCTAACTGAACATTACCTCGAAAAGCATGTAACTGTCTAAGCAACCAATCTATCCTACGGCAAGCAGCTCGAGGCGTGCCCCCAGATTTGCTCTGCTGAGCTCTCCAAATGTGAGCAGCCTCAAAAAAAAAAAAAAAAAAAAAAAAGAAAAAGAATTCATCGGAAGACATACCTCTCCTGGGTCCTGCGACTTGGTCGTTTCTTCGTTTAAGATATAGCGTCCTCTGTAGAACTCCCTGACCCTCAGGTTCAGCATCTCAGTTTCTTTTTTCAAGCTCTCGTAGCTCGGCACTGGCTTAATGGCCGTGCCTGAGCCTCTAACGGGTAGCGTCTCATCCAGGTTGTTCTGAGGTTGGCTCGGGGCAGGACCACAAATACCCGCCTCACAGCTTATGTCATCTTCATCGAGTTCTTCACCAGGCACAGGGGCTGAAGACCGTTTCAGGCACACAGAGGCATGATCTTGGCCGTACAAGAACGTCAGTGTCTCTTCTGTCTTCCATTCAGTCAAGGTGTCCTTTAGAACTCGGAGTAAGTTTGCCTTTGCAACCTCAGGGCACACCTGCACCGGGCCCGAGGCTGACCCGGAACCTTGGTTAGATCTGGCAAACTTGGTCCTGAAATGCTCAGCACTTTTCTTGCTAATCCCCACAAGAGTGACCCCCGGCACACTACTCCTGTCGTCAGGAACTGCTAAGCTGTGCAGCCCTTCACGTGACGGGCCGGGTGAAGAAATCTGAGAGTCTTCTTTCTCTGAGGGAAATTCACAGGCTTCCTCCTGACTGCCCAAGCTGCAGTTACCCAGCTGCTCAGTGACATCGGCCACCGTCTGCTCTCTGTGCTCGGAATCCACTTTCTGACCGGCTTTCTTTTTCCTTATGCTGCTTTGCTTGCGAGGCTGTGGCCTCGAATCTGCTGCCTTTGGTCTGTTTCCTGGGAGAAGCGAGGAGACGAAGCCTTGCTCATCATCGCTCGTGTGCTCGCTCCACGTGCTGGGAGGCGGTGGCGCACTCTGTGCTTCACAGGCTCCAGGACGGTCAATATCCGCTGTCGTAATGGCGTCATTGAAAAACTGCACTACTTCTCCAGAACGGCCACTGTCCAGGAAAGACAATCCAAATGGGAATTACAATGGGAAGACAAGCATTTCCAGTTATATTCTGGAATTTCAAGGTAAAAATTTCCATTCCTTAGACACAGCCTTACTTATACTCTCTCACATATAAACCTCAGAAGGCTTTAATTTCTCCATTTCTACTATATGTTTGATACAATTCTTTTCCAGATTTCCTTTGCCTATTCCTAACACTTTTACAATTCTTTTTTTTTTGTTTGTCTGTTTGGTGTTTTTTTTTTTTTTTTTTTTGGTTTTGTTTTCAAGATGGGGTTTCTCTGCATAACCGCCCTGGCTGTCCTGGAACTTGCTCTGTTGATCAGGTTGGCCTTGAACTCACAGATCTGCTGTTTCTGCCTCCTGAGAGTTGGGGTTAAAGATGTGCATCACCACCGCCCAATCCCATTTTACAATTCCTCAAGCAGTACAGCAAACAAATACGGTAATATTTTAAAGGCACTATCCTGTTCCACTGATTTTTACTTTTGTTTGAAAAAAAAAAAGGTGAATATTTCCTAGTTCTGGTTGATCATTACACAGAAAAATTCCTTGGAATGAAAAACACAAGAGTCATAATAGAAAGTGAAGTTGGTACATCTACATTTTTCAATGAAAGACACTTAAGTTTGAAAACTCAGGAGTTACAGCCGATCACAAGCCACTAAGGATAACAGCTGTGCCCCTGAGTGTATCTTTCTCTTTTCAGATTCAGTTTAAGTCAGATTAAGAGACGAACAGTGTGCCCCAGCGGCATGCCGCTCCCGAGCCCTCGTCAGAGCCCTCCTGCTGACTGGATGAGGACGTGTGGGGTCGAGAAGCCGTGGGAGTGGGAAGGAAAGGCCAGGGAAGCAAGGAGCTCAAAGCAAGGTCCTGGGGGATGCAGGAAGATGCCCAAAATTCCAGTATCACACACAGCTTTTTAACTAGAATCTAACCTACACCACCAGGCAAGTGATGGTTGGATAGGAAGAAAGTATAACTTCAGGAAATTAGGGTGTGTAGGCTGAAAAGATGCCTCAGTGGTGAAGACCATGTGTTCTTACAGGGGACCTAGGTTAGATTCCCAGGGTTCACATGGTGGTTTCACAACTGCCACTAACTCCAGTTCCAGGGAATCCAATGCCCTCTTCTGACCCCCGGGTAAACATTTATACATATATATTAAAATAATGACAAATATAAAATAGCTAGAATGAAACTTTCTTAGTTTTTATATCTCATTCTTTCCCTTGAGGTTTTAAGACACTTACATTTCATACTAGGTTAAAGCCATAAAGACATCCATCAATAAATAAGTGTCTCTCTCTTATTGGTGCTGAACACCCTGTGACTAAGGCGTGACTGATGACCAGGGACATTTAATCAGAGACTTGAAAGGGTGTGTTGTGAGACAGGGCTGCAACTGAGCAAACATCACTAAGAGTTATGAGATGGGGTGAGGAAAAACAAAAAACCCACAGCCTGCATTTATATTAATACTTTAGATATTCTTTCAAATAATCCAAGTAACACGCTAGTACCTTAAAATCCCGTAAGACCACAAAAGCTGTTCTCAAATATAATGGGCACAGCCTCACCAACAAAGGAACGGTATTTTAGATGGAGGCTGTGCTCGTGTCTATTTCAACAGGTTCAATTAGACCCCTCAATGGGACATCTGTACGATAAATCAGACAGATCAAACAAATCATCTTTCTCTCACAAAAGAAAATGCTGGACATGTCACACGTTTCTTTGTTCCACACCAACACAGGAAGTCCAGGAGCTGACACCACCTGGCCCCCTCAGGTGGGTGAAACTGATTTGAACGAACCTTTGTCCTTCTTTCAACAGCTGAAAATCAGGAGGCCTGGAACAAAACAGCAGACATTGGAAACTGAAGGCAACTGACACATCAAACACGTTCAAGAGTTTACTTTAACTCTATTGCATAGGAAATATAATTAAACAAGTAATTCATATAAAGACGTTTTTTTCCCCTCAAAGGGCAAAGCACTGTAAAATTCATGAAAAAAAATCTGGATTGAGTGTTTTGCTTTTTACCTAAAATTTACTCATTTTCAGAATTAAGTTTAAATTCCCATGAGCCCCACACAGGTTCCCTTGACCAACGTGAGCAAAAGCAAATCGCTCTCTTCGCTAAATTCCAGTCACTGGAATTAATCGGATTATTTTGTTTCTTATTTGTCAGAACTGCTATCTAAATGTTTCACTGAGCGTATGTTTGAGTTCTTGACTAATCCACCAGCTCCTGGAGGGCAGAGACTATATTGCAGTTCTTATCCTCTCAACCTAACTTCAGAGACAGCAATTATATTGTACTTCTTTGTTTTTGAGACAGTCTTACTATACATTCCTGGCTGGTCTTAAACTCATAAGAGTCCAAAGCTGGGACTACAGGTGCCAGCAATTCGGGCATGGATGTCTGTGCGCTGTGTGTGTGCAGCTGTGGGCTGCCATGTAGTTGCTGGGAACTGAACCTCTGCCAGAGCAGCAAAGTTCTCTTAACCACAGAGCCACCTTCCCAGGCCCTGTTCAAATCAAGTAAGTTAAACTTAATTCCATGAACGATCTGGTTATACAGTGCCAGGAACCATATCTGACTACTGAAAAGGCAGGAGCTCTTGAAAGAGAAATATAAAGGCCGAGGAGCGCACGATGGAGACTCATGCACCAAATACAACCTTACTTAAAGCCCCGAACGAGGGTGCGCCGTTCAGTGCATGAGATACACGAACAGGAAGTCAGGAATGATGCTGGGCCAATCAGGAAAGATTTCGGCTGGTCTTACACACACATAACTAAAGATGTTTGAAGTTAATCCCGTGAATCTCACTTTAAAACAGGTAATCATATTTAAATCTGCCCTCTAAACATGCAAACACACCCCTGTCCTTCGGGGGTCTGTGCCATTAGCCCCCTCTGCTGTTAGCTTTCTTTAAGGAAGTCCGCACTCAGGTTAAGAGCACTGGCTGCCCTTCCTGGGGTCAGGGTCTGATGCTAGCACCTACATGTAACTCCAGTCCCAGGGAATCTGGTGCCCTCTTCTGGAGCTGATGGGCATTGCATGCACATGGTAAGCAGGCAAACAAGCAGACACAGCACCCAAACACATAAAGTCTGCATTTGTCACTTTTGGTGTCTATCTGTCATCCGGCCACCAACTTCGGTCTCCTGGAATCTATACCTATTGCTTGTCTCAAATGGCTCTTGCTGAGACCACCGATAACTGCAGTGGTGGTAGCCATTTTTCTTTTCTATTGTTCTTTTTTCTTTTTTGAAGTAGAGGGGAGAGAACCAGTCCAAAAGTAAGAAGCAAGGACTAAATCCTAAAGGCAGGCCTGGGTGAAAGAAAGAAAAATCAGTAACGGGAGTAGAGCGGTGTGTTTGCAACAAGAGGAGACGAGACAGCACGGGAGGGAACCGGTGCTGACAGACATGCCCTTCTGCTCACGTCTGCGCACAGTAGTGGCTTAAAACACACTGAAGGTTCGGGGCTGGGTTCAGTGCTGGAAGTGAGAAGAAAGATCTGAATGCATCTGATAAGGGAGAATGAGGGGAGAGTTGTGAATTGGGCCAAAGGAATGCCGGAGATACAGGCTTCGGTGCCAGATGGGCTTGGGTGGGTGGGTGGGTATCTATCTATCTATCTATCTATCTATCTATCTATCTATCTATCTATTTTTGAGTCTTGCTATATTTCAGGCTGGCCTGGAACCATCACAAAGGTCAGCTAGCCAGGAATCTATGCTCCTGCCTCAGCCTCTTAAACGCTAGTATTGCAGATGTCAAAAGCACGCCTACCTCCACACCTGCATTTCAACCCCAGACCTCTGCACACAAGCCAAGTGTCTCATGCCTATTACCACACCTTTAGGTCCCACTGTCCCTGAAATCGGTAATTTAACACCCCTGGGTGACCAGAATTAAAGGGACATTCTACCCAAAATATTAATGGTCTTGACAACTTTCTCAATGATGTTTGGCAATCCAAGTACAGAAGACAAAAACAAAAACAAAAAACAAAACATGACTGGACCTTGGGAGGTGGGAAGGGCAGGAAGTTAAACAAGAAAGAACTTGGAATCAACTTTGAGGACAAAGCTGTAACTGCTGAATGTAGGAGGGTCTGAGAAATCAAACATGATAAGGGTCTGTCAGTGCAGAGCTGGAAACGGGTCAGAAGGAGGTCAAGGGGCAGCTGTAGACAAGATCAAAGCTGTGGTCAGAGAGGAAACTCTAATCCTGACAGCAAGGCCCAAATGCTGCTGACTCAAGGGACAATCAAACTGAAACATTTATACCATCAATACAATTTGGGCTAGTTGGGTTTCATTTTGTGGGCTTGTTTGTTTATTTATCTATTTAGAGATGGGATCAGGCTGTGTTACACTGGTCTTTACATTCAGGATGGAATCAACTGATCTCCTGCCTCAGCCTCTTCTGCAGCTGGTACCTACCACAGGCTCACCTTGTTGCGTCCGTTTGATTTTTTTTTTTTTTAAAGAAATAAAAGCCCAGTTTCTGGTGGTGGAAGGGACATTAGTATGCAGTAAGTACCAACATTCTGGCTCATGGTTATGTGTACTCTTACAGAGAATGAGACAGGATACATTGTCTTTTCTGTCCATTCTTAAATGAAGTTAAAATTCTTTTTGTATGTTAAAATTGCTATTTCTCTTCATGTTGAATATCTTCTTCATAATTTAAGTTGCCCTGGTGACAGTTCTGGGAGCTCAATTAAAAAACACAAACTACTTAATATATGCTTTCAAAATGATTGCTCATAAATGCCTAATCTTGAGAGGCCACATTGGCACCCAGTACCCCAGGTAAGCCCCGCCCTACAGACTGCCAACCCTTCCTCAGAGCCTGCCCAGCCTGCCCCCAACAGCTCCCTTTCTCCTCAGTACCATATCCCAGCTCACAACTCCAATCAGAAGATGGAAAGATTCCCCCATGCTCATGGATTAGTAGGATTAACATAGTGAAAACGGCCACCTTACCAAAAGCAATCTACAGATCAACGCAAGCCCCATCAAAATCCCAACACAATTCTTTATAGACCACGAAAGGAAAATTCTCAACTTCATATGAGAAAGCATAAAACCCAGGATAGCTGGAACAATCCTGTACAATAAAAGAACACCCAGAGGTATCACCATCTCTAATTTAAATTTGTACTATAGAGACACAGTAATAAAAACCGCATGGTATTGGCATAGAAACAGAGAGCTTGATCAAATAGAATTGATTGGCAAAAAGACAGGTTGATCAATGGAATCGATTGACAAATAAAAACAAAAACAAACACCAGATGGGTACAGGTTGAGCAATGGAATTGAATCGAAGACCCAGAAGTAAATCTACCAGCCATGGACACCTCATTTTTTTAAATAAAGAAGCCAGAAATACACAATTGTAAAAAAGAAAGCATCTTCAACAAATGGTGCTTGTCTAACTGGGTATCAGAATATGGAAGAATGCAAATAGATCCTTATCTATCACCCTGCACAAAACTGAAGTCCACGTGGACCAAAGACCTCAGCATAGAACCAGGCACACTGAACCTGACAGAAGAGCAAGTGGGGGGACAGCCTTAAACTTGCTTGCACAGGAGACAACCTGAACGGAACACCAACAGCACAGGCACTAACAACATCAACAAAATGGGACCTCGTAAAACGAAAAGCTTCTGTAAAGCACAGGAAACCGTCAATAGGAAAAAATAGCAGCCAGAAGATGGGAAAAGATTTTCACCAATTCCACATCTGACAGAGAGCCAGGAAAACCTTGAAGAGGTGTGTGAGGCAAGATTGTCGGAGCCAGAGGGGAGGAGAACATAGCCCACAAAATCAACTAAGCAGGGCTCACAGGGGATCAGAGACTAAAGTGACAATTACAGGCCAGGTATGGGTCTGAGCTAGGCCCTCTGCATGTGTCATGGTTTCTGTGGGACTCCTAACAGCAGGAGCGGGGTGGGGGGTGGGGGTGAGGGGGAGTCTCTGACTCTTTTGCCTGCTCTCGGGACCCTTTTCCTGGGAGGAGAGGAGGGAGGGAAAACTGTAGTCGAATGTAATCTATGAGAGAGGAATAAGAATTAAAAATATGAATGATTTATTTTCACTGAAATATGTTACATGATTAATTATTTTCATATTTTAGTCTTTTTGAGACATGGTTGAGTCTCAAGCTCATAAGGTAGTGGAAAATGACCTTCACTTCCTGGCCCTCCTGCCGAGACCTTTGAAATGCTGGGATCACAGGTGTTTGCCACTGCACCTGGCTCTAGGCTAGTGGTTCTCAACATTCACAATGCTGCGACCCTGTAGTGCAATTCCTTGTTGTGGTGGCCCCACAGTCATAAAAATATTTTCATTGCTACTTGGTAACTGTAATTTTTCTACTGTTATAAATCATAATGTCAATATCTGGTATGCAGGATATCTGATTTGTGACCCCTGCGAAAGGGTCGTTTGACCCCCACATATGGATACACATCACTTGAAAAGTGTATATTACCTATGAATCAACACGGCTGGTAGCGCACAGTCCCTACTGTGGTGGGAGGACTCAAGCCTCCTTAGACACTGTGAAGTCTTTTCAGGAAGCGTTTATTCTGCTTGCCGTGCACAGACAAGGCAGCTGCTCAGGAAGAGGTTATAAAAGTTGCTCTGCAGAGGTTTTTGGCTTCCGCCCCTGAGATTATGCATGTTTATTGCAGAGAACTGATATGTAAAAATCCCCTTCGCCAGGCCACATGATGCGTTTAGCTCTGTCAGCATTAACCATTCACTCAAATTTGATATTTAAAAACAAAATTTGCTATTCAACATTTGTCCTTTCTTTATAGATAGGACTATAATTCAAGAGACTCCTGTCTCCTAAGTTCTAGACTTTACTTGTATAAAACCATTCAGGATTTACAAATCCAAGCTCAGACTGACTAGAAGGACAAAGTTTCAGCATCAGAACTGTACGTAGCCTGTTTCTGGACTCCAGCTGGGTGAGCAATGTCTACGTCACGATGTGAGACACATCATGCACTGCAAACCACACAGCTCTGTGTTTGTCAGGAGATGTCTGTGAGAACCACTGCTCCCCAAGGCTTAAGGGTGTATTTTAGTTTTAGATATTTTTCACTGTAATTAATGACTTCCTAACTCTAATGCAGTAATCAGGTAAGTAGTTGAGTTACTAAGGCACAAAGTTAAGGGACTATATAATAAACAAACTTATCCTAGCATTCACAGTTATGTGTGAGAGATCAAACTTCGTCAAACTTACTATTCTGTTTCCCATTGGTGTTTGAGACCATGACACGCCAGGTTTCAAACACATTAGAAAATACCCCTGGCTTTTCTTCTCATTTAAACTTTGACCCAGTTTTCTATCAACCTTCATCTTAACAAACAAAAGCCTTCCGATCGATTCGTCTGCATTCCTGAATCAGACAGGGTGTGAGTAACAAGGCGCTCAGGTCTGTGCGGTTTCATGCTGATATAGGACGTATACAAATGCAGACTTCTACTTTCTCAAGTGAGGAACTGTCTAGTGCAGAAACATGGTTTTGTGATCCTATAACAACTAAAAACCTACAGTGAGCAAGACAGTGCTCTTCAAGCCATGGTAATGAACAAGACACGTAATCAGCATGCCATGAAAGTGGTAGAAAATAACTAGCATTTTCATATATTGGACTACAATGTCAGGTATATTAATTAAAGTTTATAATTCACTGCATGAGACATTAATTACACAAATGGATTTAAAATTTGTATTTTAAATTGACCATTAAATCACTATAATGAAATTAATGTTTACTACTTAAAATAAAAATCTCTGCCTTAAACACTAGGGACAGCTGTTCTAAAATGCAGCAACACATCAAAAAAAAAATCATTCTCAGTGACAACAGTGACATCTAGTGGATTCATTAAGTTACAACACGGCCACATGTCCAAGAGTTTAGAGATTGAATTTACACTGATGGGCTTCTAGACTGAGAAGATAGGACACGGCTGTAACACCGCCAAGCAGGTGCTAGACACAGTAAAGGCTCTGGTTAGACGACCGATCCTTCACTAACGTCCACAAATCACACTGAGACCAATGGGCAGAAGCCTGGCCTCATTCAGAGTCTACCATTAGCTTAAGGAGTATGCTCCGTTTTTTTGCAAGGGGGCTTAGCAAGGGAACTGGACTGACTCCACAGATCTGTTATGCTTTTGAGACTCCTTGACGCTGAGTTCATCTTGTAGACCAACAGAAGATCAAGGTCTGCTCAAAAGACCTTGTGTACTGGGTGTCCAAGTGTCAGACACCTGACACTTCCCAGAACCAGAAAATGCACCAAACCCTACCCGGCCTTCTTCCTATTGTGATCTGGTGCCCTCTAATCCACGATGCCTAAAACCAGGACTTTACATACACTATTCTTTTCCTGTGCAGCTAGTAAATGATTGACAGGAGAACATGTGCACACTGGGATTACACGGGAAAAAAGATTTGTGCCCTGGGCAAGGAGGAGCAACACGGTGTGAGATTTTTATTGTCCTATCTGGAATAATTCATAATTTAAAAATTTACGAATTATTTCTGGGGCCATCCATTTAATATTTTCAGACTATAGTTAAGGTTGATAACTGAAAAAATGGAAAGTGAAACAATGGCCAAGAAATCCCCATCCTACTCCCTTGAATTTTTCTCTATTGTTTACAGTTTGTCATTAAGTAATGTTGCAAAATTTATGTTACACATACTCAGTAAAGTATTAAATATTGTTTCACTTGCATATTCATTCTATCACTGTAATTACCACTAAACTCAAAGGTTGAGGAGGTTCATGGGCACATGAATATGCATGTGCATGTGTGTAGTAAAGTATTAAATATTGTTTTACTTACATATTTACTCTATCATCATAATTACCACTAAACTCAAAGGTTGAGGAGGTTCACGGGCACATGAACATGCATGTGCATGTGTGTGTTCTGCCAGGCACTGAGTGCACCGTGTATACTCTGTAAATTAAGCGCATTTGCCTAGATTAGGGGAAATAAAGTCAACTTTTGTCTTTTTTCCTCCACTAAAATATAAGAAATGAGATGAAACATAGTAACTACAAACACAGATCAAGGCTTCAAGTTATGAGGAAAAGTAGACATTGTGAACTCAGAGGGATGAGACTCAGGAAAAGGTCAACTAAGAGCTAGCACTATGAGGAAAACTGGTCTTGGGAATGCCTTCCCTCCCCTTCCTGCCCTCGCTTTCTTTGAGATGGTATCTCTTGAGGACCTGGCTGGCCTGGGGTTCACTGCGTAGGTAAGGGCGGCCTTGAGCTCTGATTGTCCTGCCTCTCAGGAGTGTGGGAATTCCAGTACAATCACACCCAGCTTGGTAAACAGTTTCAAAGTAGACGGAAGGATGCTACAGAGGACGCAATTTAACACGCAGAGGCGTTGGGAATAAAAGACAAAGATAACTTGGATCGCCTCAACAATAGCAGTTCTGTGACAGACAAGGTGAAGAAGGCGGTGACGACAGATGAAGACTGTGAGTGTCCCGTTGACCTTGGAACCTGCTGTTTTTTAAGTTGGTGAAATGACCAACTCAGTCTTTGTCACGGTCAGCTTAAGGCCACAGGGTGGTAGGTAGGCTTTGCAGAGCGAGGGTTACAGAGGAACATGCTATTGAAGGTCGGTGGCTGATGCCAATGCGCTGGTAGAATTTAGAGTGGAAACCTTCTTTACTGGGCAGACTTAAGGCTTTGCCTGTCTGTCTTAGAGCAAAGCTCCTGCGTCATTGCATCTCTCTACACTGGAGTCGCTCTATTTACTCGGCATCTGTCTTCACTGTCTGACCACAAACGACAGGGCTTGTGCCAACTCTTCAAACATGTGCCATTCAGGAGGATACTGATGTCACTGAGCCTTTGTCTGGAGTTTCTATACAATTTAGTTGGATAGTGATGACAACTATTGCTTTGATGAATAACTTTCTTTAAATACTGTATCGGTAAAATATTGCCAGTGTTTAAATGTCCCAGAGCAAAAGCCCTGTGATGATCACACACTTTTTAGCAAAAAAGGTCCTTTTCTATTAGCTTTTTTTAAACTCAGGATACTGCAGTTAACTGTAATAAAGCCCGTTATCTTAGCAGCAAAGTGAGCTAGGTTCCCAAGGGTCATTATCTTCTGAAAAAGAGTTATTATTTTAATTCAGGATTGTTACAGTAACAGTAACTCAGGATTGTTACAGTAACAGGCTTCACAGTCACCCTGGGCAAAGCAAGGGCCAAAATGCAGGTTCTAGTTTTGTCATTAAAATGACATCAGAGATAAACATCTGCATGTATGATTTACCATTTAAAACCCTTAGTAACTATGCTTAAGATACAGCGATTTCTCCACAGCTAAGATATGTAAATGGTGACCCTCTGTGGGCAATGACGCCTGCTCTTGCCGGAAAGGTTCCTTGACCACTACAGCAAACAAGACAAAGGTTTAATTACCTTTCTTCCTCTCGGACCCATACTGGAGTTCTGGGAATTTGTGTTTCAAAAAATTTAGATGCTCTGTAACAAAAGTTGCTGCAGAAAGACTGAAAAGAACATTTAAAATTAGCTCATTACTTTTCTATTTTGAAGCATATCCTACACACAGAAAACATGTATGTGCCAATCAAAGAATAAAACAAAGCTCGAAGGCTTTTGCCACACAAGGCTGAGAGTACATGACAGTAACTTCAATGGCTTCTCTTTACCCTAGTTAACCGCATCACCTTCTATGTTCCCTGGGGTAAACACCACCAGATACACTCTGCTCACCATTCCTTTTGGTCATCACCTATCATCACCACACAACACCCATCCACCATGTAGCACCCATCTGCTCATCCCTATAAAACACGTGGCTCTGTCATTTCTGAGCTTTATCCAAATGGGGTATGGCTCTGCGCTCATGTCTTGATTCTTTTTGTTCAAAGCCACATTCTTAAGATTGATTGACCCAGGGTCTCGAGTAGTTCACCCTTTTGCTGTACACCTTCACCTTCTGGAGCTGGGGCACAGCAGAGGCTGCTGAGCACTTGCCTGGCCCTGCAAGGCCCTGGGTCCCATCCCTCACCACAGAGAGCAAACGGATTGCACACTGTTACTTTAACTTATTCTTCATGAACAACTGAACTGCTTGTGACCTTTTGCTACCACTATGTATATTATTTTAGATGGGGGCGGGGGGCTCACTTTGTTTCCCAGGCTAGCCCAAAACTCACTGTGAGGCTCAAGGCGGCTTTGCATTTGTGGCACTCTTACTCTCTCAGCCTCCCAAGTGCTGGGGTTTCAGGGTAAGCCACCACAACCTAAAAAATTTACTAAAAGGACTGTATTTAATACTTCCACTTTTTAATCATTTAAATTAATAAATTTAAGTGTGTGCACATAAGCCACGCATGCAAGCAGAGGTCAAGACAACTCCGAGAAGTCGATTCTCTTTTCCACCTAACTGAGTCATCTCTTTGGCCCTTTTTATTTTATTTGAGATAGGGCTTCTTCATACAGGGTAAGCTAACTTCAAATTTTCTGTGTCGTTTGAGGGTGCTTTTGAACTTCTGACCCTCCTACCTCTGCATCTTGAGTCCTAGAATTATAAGCATACACCTGGCTCACCAATTTTCTCATTTTGTGTATATGTGTATACACACACACACACACACACACGCACGCACGCACGCACGCGCGCACGAGCAGTATATATGTGTCTCTGTGTGTGCTTGGGTCTGCATGTGCCCACACGCGTGTACTCACTTGTATAGGGTAGAGGCTGACAATGGGTATGCTCCCCAACCACTCGTTACCTTATGTTTTGAGACAGGGTCTCTCACTGATTTTTGAGCTTGCTGGTTTTTGCTCAGCTGGCTGACTCAGAAGCCATTGCATCTGTCTCCAACCCCTAGAAATAGGGTTTTGAGCACGTGGCACTTAAACTCCCGAGTCATCTCTCTGATCCACTTTTTAAAATGTACACAAAATTTGCCATCCTAACCCATTCTTTGTGAGACGGCGCCTCGCTGTGTGACCCACAAGTGTCGACTGTCTTGCCTTTGGCTCCTGTGCACTGAGACTGCAGGCAACGCCACCGGCCTTTCCTTGTCACCACTTTCTAGTGCCCGGTTTGGTGACACTAAGGTCACACCGTGCACAGTTCTCTTCAGTATCTGTCTCTGGAAGTCTTCTCAGCATGCACAACTGAAACTCCCCCCCCCCGACACGGTAACTTTTTATTCCTCCCTTCTCTGACACACACCATCCTGCTGTAAACACGGTAGCTCTGAGACCCTTGTATAAATAGCTTATACTGTATCTGTCCTTTTGTGATGGCCTGTTTCACTTAACAATGTCTTCAAAGTTGCTCTGTCGCTATATGCCTGTACATTTACCTTATGGCTATGAGTATTTTTATGCACACGGCCCAGGAATTTCTTCAAGGCATATGACAAAGAACAAAAAGGCTTGGTCACACAGAATGCGAGAGGTTTCTGGTGTGCATCTTTACTTCGTGTTAACGAGCCTCTCCAGCACGTAAGAGGTTCTGCTCTCAAATGGCTGTAACAAAAATCATTCCCACCAGCTGGGCGGTGGTGGCGCACGCCTTTAATCCCAGCACTCGGGAGGCAGAGGCAGGCAGATCTCTGTGAGTTCGAGGCCAGGCTGGACCGACAGCCTCCAAATCAATACAGAGAAACCCTGTCTCGTTAAAAAAAAAAAAAAAAAAATCATTCCCACCAGTTCACTGTGTTTTGACTAAAGAAAAGGAGCACGTTTGCATGCGTTGCCAACCATTCACTCTTGGTGTATGAACGTTTCCATCAGGTTGCCTTCCTTTTTCTTAACGTGTTCTGGGGATAGATGTGAGGGAATCTAACTTCACACTTCACACTTGTTCCTTCGCTCTCTCTCTCTCCTTCCTCTCCCTCCCTCTCTCCCTCCTCTCTCTGTCTCTCTGTCTCTCTGTCTCTCTCTCTCTCTCGCTTGTTTTTTTTTCCAAGACAAGAGTTTCTTTGTGGAGCCCCGCCTGTTCTGGAACTCACTCTGTACACCAGGCTGGCTTGAACTCAGAGAGATGGCCCTGTCCCTGCCTCCTGAATGCTGGGATTAATTAAAGGCGTGCGCCACCACACCTGGCTTTGTTTTCTCATTTTTTTTAATGAACAAAAGTTTTAAAATATAAAATGGGAAGTTTTTCAGCTTTGCACACTTTTCTAATTTTCTGTCCGAGTTCAAGTTCTCCCATATGACCTTGAGAGGTCTGTTTTCTGTACACAGGTAGGTCTCTCCACCCACTTTGTATGTGGATGGACGGGATGAGTCAGCTCTCACAGTTCCCATTTGGACAACTGACTGTGGCACTTCCAGCTACTGAAAAACCCATCCTTTCTCCACTCCCCCACGATTCTCCTGGGACCGTCTATCAAGGGTTCATATACGTGATGACTCGACTGTGGCTCCTCCTTCTTACCCTGATATACTACTTGCCCGTACTTACAGGCAAATGCGTACTTTATGTTTTTAAATGTTCAGATCTTTTTTGGAGGAGGGAAGTAGTCCAGAGAAGCCCCAAACTTGCTGGTAGCCGAGAAGACTATGGACTCCAAACTCTTCCCACCTCCATCATACCCAGCTTCAAGTCTCAGTTAAAGCTCAAGCAAGATATTTTCTCAGTACCTTAGTTTCAAATGGAAACAATCTGTTCACGTAGCTATTTTCTAACAGACAGATTTTAAAGTAAACTTTAATGTTCTATTTAGCATCATTTAAGAAACTAACTGCCACATCAAGTAGCATTTGAACTTACCTTTCTTTCAGTAATATCATAGACTTTATTGGTTTTAGTAGAAATTCTATACCTCTGTTTAGGGATCTAAAGAAAAACAAAGCATAGTTTACTAAAGAATTTAAGCAAGGAACACAAGCTTTATGTCATATACAATTAAGTCATCTACAGTTAATACTTTAGGCCAACCCAAGTTATTAGTTCATGACTTGGGCTTTGCTTCCCATCCTTTCTACAACACGTTTTGTAAAAACTAATAAGCACGCTTGGGGGGAGAGTACTCACGACTCCTAGCTTCTTCTGACATAAAGGATAGCCGCAGAGTTTAACGATGGACCGCTCGTCCACGACGTCGCTGTAGTGAGCCGGTGTGATGAACATCCCCTGCAGGGCAAGGAAAGGCATTTTCCAACGGTGAGGGAGCCACCTCACAACCGTGAAGGCAGAATTAGATGGGTACGTGAAGGGGAAGTACTTCAGTAACTGTTTGATGTGCACTTAGGAGCAAAGGTATTTTAAAAACTTCTGCTGCCAAACACGACAATCGGAGTTCCATCTCTGGGACAGACCCACACTGGCAGGACAGAATCGAATCCACATGCACGCCGTGGCCCACATGGGTCATGGTATGTGTGCCCACCCCACGAGAAATAAAATAAAAATAAATTTAACTACACATTACACGTAACTACAGCCATCTTACTGTGTACATTTACGAGTTCATTTTAAAGTCATCATGAAGCAAGAGACATTACGACAGTTGACAATTTTAAAATGCAAATTATACATCATGTATCTAAGGACTGAAATAAAATTTAAAGATTCCAACAGGGTGAAGAAGTTTCACTTTGCACAGACTGAAGCATGCTAGACTTGGGGACTGGAGGGATGGCTCAGTGGTTTGGAATGCTTGCTGCTCTGCCAGGCAACTGCTGGTAATTCCAGTTCCAGAGGAACTGGTGCCCTCTTTTGGAGTCCACAGGTAACTGGACATACATGGCATGCAGTCACACATACATTTGCGTATATTTAAAGAAAAAATGACGGTGCTGGAGAGACAGCTTAGAGGTTTACAGTATTTGCTGCCCTTGCCAAGGTTCCAAGTTCAGCTCCTGGCAACCAACGTTGGGCAGATCACGACCATCTGTAACTTCAGTTCCAAGGGATCTGATGACCCCTTCTGGGCTCTGGGCACTCACAGTGCATACACGTACATGAACATATGTACAAAGACGCTCATACACGTAAGTCTTTAATAGATGATTTCAGATCTGGTAATCAGTCAACTTCATACATACACACTCCTTTAGGAATTCCTCAGTGATGTTCTCTTCCAAAAGCTGCTCAACGATGCGCAGGGCTTTCCTCTCAAACTCCACCTTCCTCTGCACCGCGGCTTCCAGTTCTGCCCGTCTGACATTTTAAGAGACAGTCAGTCCACTTAAAAGGCTTCTCCCACATCCAACACTCTGTGCTTTAAAGGCCACCGCTAACCTCACTTGCTATTTTGCCGATAAAATTTACAGCCTTAAACTCTGCCATTTCCCGTCTGATACAAAAGGGAAGCAAACGGTACTTGACTCTGTGTGTGTGTGTGTGTGTGTGTGTGTGTGTGTACGGAAGCAGGTCACCGGGATTACTCCCAGGCTCAGAGCACAAGGAAGCACTTCCAGATACCTCTAGAAAGGGAGGGCTGACACGGTAGTCCACTTGGAAGGCGGAGATGGGAAGAATCAGAGTTCAAGGCTAGCGTGGACTACCCAGGAAGAACCTGTATTTTAAAAGAGCGTGGAGTTTTTTTGTTTTTGTTTTTTGCTTTCAGTTTATACTTTTGCCATACATACTTGGTGTGTCCTGCCTCCCCTCCCCCTGCCCCCACCACAGGGCCAGAAATCAACAGACTGAAGAAAAAAAGGTGACTTGACTTCTGTTTTCCTCACACACTGTCAAGAGTCGAGGTTGCAACACCTCAGTTCAACACAGCAGTTATGTCTGGGGAGAAAGGCACTCACTCTGTTTCAGGCTTGCTGGGTAACTGTATTGACATGGCGCTGAGGAAGTTCATCCCAGAGAGCAGTGGGATCCTGACAGTCCTTTGTGGCCCCGCAACATGGGATGTAATGCAAGTCTGTCTTGTTAGGCACCTCCCCTCCCCCCGTAAGCAGCGCGTCTCGAGCTCTGCTGCACAGGACTGTGTGAGATGTTTTTAGACACCGTGCCCTGAATGGAGAATCACCCGCTGCCATGAGTATCCTGGTGACACCATCTCAGCTGTCACCGGTGAGTGCTGACCTCTGGACAGTGTCAAGTGTTCTCCCTGCTTTCATTAACCTCTGAGACTTTACACTTTGCCTAGAGCAGTATGCCCCGCCCTCCAACTTGGACGTCTGGTAGTTTTGCCAACAATTCATATTTCAGAGTACATACATTAAAATAGGAATTTTGAAAGGAAACACCTATTTTTTCCCCCCACCATGTCATCAAGATCATTTTACTGTTATTGTGGGATAACAGGGAGGGAATTCGGTGCACATGCTCACTCTACCACTGAGCTACAATTCCTAACCCCGTGATGACCACTTTTGCATCAAAGAAATACAAAAGACATAAACACAGAGTACAGTTCTTTATGTTTAATATTAAAAGCTTCATGAAAAATTGTTTTTCTCTCTTTTTTTTTGCACTCATCAATAAAAGTCATTATCAACCCGCTGGCTCAAATTATCAGCCACACTGACCTGAGCCACTGTCTTCCTGACTGACAGATACCTATAGCTGCTTCCCATGGGTACTGTCTCAGTGTTGTTCCTTACAACCAATATGGCTGTGCTGGCAGTCTTATGTCAACCTGATACAAGCTATGGTCACCTGAGAGGAGGGAACTTCCATTTAAAAAATGCCTCTATACGATTGGGCAAGCCTGTAGGGCATTTTCCTAATTAGTGATTGATGGGGGAATAGTGTAGCCCATTGCCTGTAATGCTACCCCTGGGTTTATTATGGTCCTGGGTTCTTTGAGAAAGCAGACTGAGCAAGCCAGCAAGCAGCACCCTCCATGGCCTCTGCACTAGCTCCCGCCTCAGGGTTCCTGTCCTGGTTTCCTTCGATGATGAACAGTGATGGGGAAGTGTAACCCAGGGTAACCCTTTCCTCCCAAGTCGCTTTTTGGTCACGGTGTCTCCCCACAGGGAGGGTAACCCTGACTAAGACAGTGGTGTACGGAGCAGTTCTCAAACATTCTGGTCTTGGATTCCTTTATATGCTTAAAAGCTGGAGCTTTTGTGCATATGGATAATATCTGTCAGAATTTACTGCATTCAGATTAAAACACAATAAAAACAATTCATTTCATTTGACAATACCAAGCCTGTCAGATGTTAACTTTCAAATGCATTCTATTAAATGAGGGAACTGGCCTACATTTTCCCCCCCACGTATCTTAATGCCCATCTCTCAGCTGGATTGAATGTGGGAGCATTTTACGTTAGAGTAAATAAGAGGGTCGGTTACGTGTTATCAATCACCATACGGATCTTTTTTTTGTCATCCTAGCTAATCCGCTCACAATACATCTCAGCTGGAGCGGGGAGTGCGGCTCAGTGGTAGAGCACTAACTGGCCTAGGGTTCAAAGTGTTACACGACTCCACAGGAAATGCTTCCCAGACCAATGCTCCAATACGTCCAGCGCCCCCATCCTCCACACCACCTCGCCTGACACTAAGCCTCACATCCAAGCACCGCCTCCACGTTTGCTGCTCTGCGCTCAGACAAGCCAAGTTTCTCGGTGTGACAACAGTAGGTACTACGTGAACAGAACTCTGCCTCCCCCCCCCCATGTCATACACGCCCTACCTCAGGCTCTTCACACATGTTGTCATCCCCCCCCCATGAACTCTCATCTCTACTGTCCGCTTTACCCCGACTATCTTAAGGTTTTAGACAAGCCTTGAGAACCCACAGGTCAACCCCCTGACCATCTAAACCATCAGTCAGACCCCTCATACCGCCTTTCTCTGGACGGCACTTACTGCGATTGGTGAGGACGTACTCATCTGTGTCCGTTTAACCGACATCTCTCAGCCCCGGTGAACTAACCCAAACACAGCCCATCTATCTTGTACTCGGAAAATGTTTTGAAAGGAGGATTAGGGAAGCTTGGAAGTGTTGGAGTCACGGAGACTTTTAATCTCTTCACAGACAACACCTGTCTTAGAGATCTTTGGTGACATTAAGAGATAGGAAAGGGTGGTTTTGGCTTGGTTTGTTTTTTTGAATCTGCACTTAAGGACACGAAGGATCCCAGTGAGTCTGGTATACACAGCAGTAAGCACGGATGGGAAAGGAACGCTTGCTTAATTCAGGGATGGCAGGTGTGCCCGAGGCTCTCTACGGGTGTTCCCAACAGTTTCCAACTGCCTGAGCCCCCAGTCTACTCTTCTAAAGCTGGAGGATGAAATAGCTGTGAGAACTATCAGTCTCCCTGTGTCTTCTCATAAATTTGTTCTCAGCACACAGTTCAATGCCCAAATCCAAGACCAGAAAACAAAACCAAACAAATCTGATCCCATTAATGAGATAAAAGGAAAGTTATCCGCTGGCTATACCTTCTGGAAGCATCTTCTGGCTTCAGGGCACTTGTCTGTTTAGTACCTACAATTAAGAGATAACAGTTAAGTGCAAACATTTGATGTAGTGGTCTTACCCAAATAACACACTGTGGACAGCTTTTCCTTTTCTCTCACACATTTCATCTCCAACTTGTAAAAAAAGGTTTCCGTAAATTAACTATATTTCAATTTTCCGACTAAAATCTCTTTGGGAGCTGGCTTCTTTAAAAAAAAAACCGGGCGGTGGTGGTGCACGCCTTTAATCCCAGCACTCGGGAGGCAGAGGCAGGCGGATCTCTGTGAGTTCCGGGCCAGCCTGGTCTACAGAGCGAGTTCCAGGACAGCCTCCAAAACAATACAGAGAAACGCTGTCTCGAAGAAACTAAAATAAATAAATAGCAAAACCTAAGCCTTTAGGATAAACATTTCTCGGCCTCCCAAATGCTAGCACAGCTTGCCTAAAAGGAGGAGCCGATACCTCCGAGACCAGGTACCAAAGCCGTCCAAAGGGAGGCCGGTCCAGGGTTCAAGGCGGCCAGCACAGCCCACGCAGGGGGAGATCCCGAATCGCCCGCCTAAGACTGCGGGATTCTTTCCCCGGGGTACCGGGGCAGCGCAGGGAAGCCACCCGCCACCCGTAGCTCTCCCTCCCCCGGGGTCAGCCTGGGCGAGCGCCCCGTGCGCGCGTGCGCAGTACGCAAGCCAGGGCCTCGGGGTCCACACCTGAAGAGGCTCCCGCTCGTACCTGCAGCGTGTCGGTAGGTGCCGGAAGCCCGGGCACTCGGGCCCGAAGAGAAAGGGACAGCGGAGTCAGCCATGGGGAGACGCCGTCAGAGGGCACGGAACGAGCGTGCGCGGCGGCCGCGAGGCTCCGCCTCCCACGCGTCATCCGGACCGTGTTGGGGGCGGGCCTAGGGAGGGCGGGGCGAGCGCCCAAGGGGGCGGATCCAGCTCAGGGGCGGGGCGAGCGCCGGAGGAGGCGGGCTCGGAGGGCGGGGCGAGCGCCGGAGGAGGCGGGCTCGGAGGGCGGGGCGAGCGCCGGAGAGGGCGTGCCCAGCCTAGGGGCGGGGCCGGGAGTGCGGCCTGCGCTGGCCGAGGTGGAGAAGGCGCGCGGTCTGGCGGGTAGGTGGACGAGCTGGGTAGGGGTGGTCCAGGCTCGCCCATCAGGACCCGGGCAGCACGCGGCTCGCCTGCTAGGCCCCTCGAGGTGCTGGAGCCTGGACGCTCTGCCCAGCAGGCGCAGGGAGACAGGGAGAAATGGCTCCCCCTCGGCTCAGCCCACAGGCGCGGTAGGGTGTGATTTTGCTGTCGGCGCCTGGGGGACAGCGAGTCCAGCCCCCGGGGCCGCACAGAGTGCTGGGCACCGCCGAAGGCCTCGTCTAAGGGTGATTCGGTGATCTCACTTGACTAGGATTGGTTCCTGTGGGGAGGGCAGGTCCTGTGGGGCGTGGGGTAGAGAGCATCAGAGTCTTCAACTTATTTGGGTGACTTAATTGTGTTGGATTTCAGTATTTATCAATGGGACATTTTAAGAATCCTCTAATGATTAGAATTTCTATGACAGGTCTACCGGTTTTGTTTTGTTGTTTTTGTTGTTGTTGTTATGAAAGGAATACTTTCCTCTTTTGAAAAAAGGTTCTTCTAGGAAGTTCTCTCTAGGGTTCTTTTTCTTTTTTAATTCTCTTTTCATTCTTTGGGGAATACAGGAGGGGCTTTAAAAATGTTTTTAATAGGCTAGCACACTAGCGTTCAGTAAAACCATTTAAGCTATAAAAGTTCACATTGTATTGGTTGTGTTTTCTAACAATTCAGAATGAAACAGTTTATGGAACAATTTACATACTATCACACAACTAACTGTTTTGTATTAGTTCATTTCAGTGTCAAGACTAGGACGTGTAATTAGGAATGGCTGTTGAGGAACTTCAGTGCATAATAAAAAGATGTGTAAGTAATTCCCTAAAGCCACCTTTAAAAGATGGCGAGGGCATCGATTCTCTTTAATTACTTTGTGGTCACTCCTATTGTTTGCCTTATCTATAATTTCACCTTTTTTAAATTTTTTACTTGTAAATAAACAGCATAAGATCAGGAAGGTAGATTGTGTGTGTGTGTGTGTGTGTGTGTGTGTGTGTGTGTGTGTGTGTGTGTGGCCTTTAATCCCAGTACTTAGAGGCAAAGGCAGGGAGATCTCTGTGACTTTGAAGATGGCCTGATCTGCATAGTGATTTATAGGACAGGGCTATAACATGATTACCTGTAGGTGAACACTCATACATATAACATAAAAACAAATCCTAAATTGGTTTTTTTGCACTTGAAAAAACATTTTAGTTTTAACGCGCACAAGGGCTCTCAAGCACCCATGCCCACCTGAAGCTGTAGTAACGGGTTGTGAACCAACTGACCTGGGTGCTGAATTAAACTCAGGACCTCTGCAAGAGAAATATCTATCAAACCATTTCTCTAACCCCAGTATCCTGTAATTTCAGACCTGTGGTTGTTTTCATAGGTTTCTTTAATTCAGTAGGTTCTAGATGATTTCATTGAGCAGTACTGATCGCTGCTTGTAACTAGCCTTCAGAGGCTGGGGCAGGAGGCCCTGAAGTTCCCAGGTCAGCTTAAGCTTCATCATGAAAGCCTGTCTCAAAAGCCAAGATAAATAAAGACAGTCGTTAAAATATTTATGAGGATAATTTCTAATTTTCATTATATATGCGTGTGTACTTTCTCTAGATTTTAAGATTTCCTTTTCTTCCCTAGAGTGACAAAATCAGGAAGTCATTCATACTGAATCTATATTTGTACTGTTTTTTAACAGCAAATCCTAGAGGAGAGTGATTTTAAAGAAGAGGATTTTGGCCTCTTCCAGCTAGCAGGCCAGAGATGCATCGAAGACGGGCATGTAGACCAGCTGCTGGAAATTGTTCAAGATGAAAAGAACAAGGTAAGTACAACCTTTGTATCTACTTTTCAGTCTTTATTGAAGCACCATGACCAAGGCAAGCAGGAGAGGCAACGGTTCATTAGGGCTGAATCACACGGAGAACGGACAGCCTGGGGATTGCCTGGTCACCGAGGCTGGGTGCCTCAGAGTAGTCTCACGGTGGCTGTCCCCTGCTGGGTGCCTCAGAGGTCCCATCTGGCCCCAGAAGTCTTGGGAAAGGGCTGTAGAGCTGCTGGTCCTAGGTCACAGTGAAAGCTGAGAAACTCTGGTTCTGTTAGTAGGAAGGACGCAGCAGCAGTAGCAGCTGTTAACCTCATGCCAGAGGAGGGAAAGGCCAGGGAGCACAAGGCAAGACCTTCCTTCTATGTCCTTCCTGTCTGCTGTTTCCACTCCAATCTAAGCACTTAGGACACCCTTCATATGAGGCTCCCTGTTGATACTGAAAGAACTCAGTTTTATAGTCCCCAATGCCATCAATTTTGTGAGGTTTTGTTTTTGAGACAGTCTTTAGTCCATGCTGTCCTGGTGTTCTTAAACTCACTGTGTTTTTTGTTGTTTGTTTGTGGTGTATATGTGGTGTGTGCATGTGTTTGTGTGTGTGTGTGTGATGTGTATGTACACGTTTGTTTGTGGTGTGTGTGTGGTGTATACATGTGTTTGTGTGTGTGATGTGTATGTACATGTTTGTTTTTGGTGTGTGTGTGTGTGATGTGTATGCACATGTTTGTTTGTGGTGTGTGTGTGTGTGAGTGATGTGTGTGTGAATGTGTGTGTGAATGTGTGTGTGATGTGTATGTACATGTTTGTTTGTGGTGTGTGTCTGTGTGTGTGTGTGATGTGTTTGCACGTGTTTGTGTGAGTGCATGTGCAAGTCAAGGTCAGAAGTCAACCCTGAATGCCCCCTCCATCACTTCCCATCTTCTGAAACAAGGCCTCTCACTGAACATGGAGCTCATAGGTTCACCTGGGTGGGGTGGCCAACAAACTCTGGGGATCTGCCTGTCTCTGCTTCCCTGGTGCTTGGATCACCAGCGCATGCTGGTGTGCCTGGCTTTGTGTGTGGGATCTGGGGATCTGAGCTCAGCAGCCCATCCTAGCTGAGAGTGCTCCTGTCAAGGTGAGTGGAAGCACTGCGTTGGCCAGGCAGAGGAGGGAGGGGAGCTTAGCGTACTGCTCCTCAGGTGTTTTGTGGTGAATGGTTTATTTTTAGTATGTTTCTAAATAGCTAATGGGCTAGATTTAAAGATAGTGAGGCTTAGGCTTAATGTCTTTAAAATCGCCTTTGTACTCTACAGTCTGATAGTACAACAATATTTTACACAGATTACAATTTGATTTTCTTCCCAGGTGACAGTTTCAGGACTGGTCCCTATTTACTACTGATCTCTCTGTGTTAGTGTTTTCAAAAGCCAGATGAAGATGAACTGTCTTAAGACCCTGTAGTGTAGACTTTAACATCGACTTATACCCTGGCCAGGGCCACTGTCCTGTGGAATGCAGGATATTCTGCAGCAGCACTGGCCTCTAACTGTTATACCAATGACACCCCGTCTACCAACACACCAATCAGAAGTCTTGAGACCTTGCCAACTATCCCCTGGGAACCCAGGAGCAAAACTGTCCCAGTGGAGAGCAATTGGGCTGTGGACACAGCATGGGCTGGAGCTGGAGAGACGTGAGCTATGGCTCTGCCACAGTCTCATGTAAGGTGGGGACACTTGTGCTACTTGGTATTGAAGCATTGAAGAAGGTATGTGGATTAGGTCTTAAGAGGCAGGGGCAGGCAGATTTTTGAGTTCGATGCCAGCCTGGTTTTTGAGTCTGTATCTAATTCTTTCCATATACTGACTTAATTCAGTATCCCTAACAAAGACCATGAGATATTTAATACCAGAGCCTATAAGTTCCAAAAGACATCATTCTGTAGTGCCTGGTAACCTTGTAACTGATATTTATAAAATGTTTAGCTAAAATTCTTGGGATAGGCAAGATGGCTAATGGGTAAAGTTACTTGCCACCAAGTGAGCTGAGTTTGATCCCTGAGACCCACATGGTTAAAAGATCGACAACCTCCAACCTGTCCTCTGACCTCCACACACAGGCTATTGCAATATGGGCAAACACGTATGCACACTAAGCAAATATTTAATTAGTTCTTTAACTCAGATAAACACATCGTTACTCTTGAGAATCTGGCTAATTAGCATTCAGAGGGTTACTTAAAGAAAAGTAGAGCCATGAAAAAAGAAAGAAACACCTAGTTAAAAAGTACAGCATGCAGGAGCTAAGGCTGTTTGCTTTGTTTTGTAAGCTTGAGGATAATTGAATCAGAGTTTCAGAGAAAACTTCTCTGGGCCAGGCAAATTGTAATCTCAGCAGCTGTCCAAGGAGAACAGAAAGGAAACAAAAGCATAGGCTTAAGTTAAGCTGGCATAGAGGTCAATCACGTGGTAGCAGCCATATGGTAAGAAGCTGGGGCTGTAGAGAAAGCATGGAAAGTTCTGGCCAGCATCCAAAAGAGACAGACGAAAGAAGAGTAAGGATGCTAAACTCCATGGAGGACTGGGCTGGGGCCAGGAATTCTGGGAATGGAAAGTAGGACTCCACTAAGGAAATAACTATCCTGCCTATCTAGGAGCCAAATTCTAAAAAGTTAATTTAGTCTAATTCTATAAATTATGGTAAAAAAATTAGCAATTAAAAAAAACTTAGTTACTACTTCATAACATGAATTCTTGAATATTAAAAGTCAAGCTATACCAAAAAATAGAGGAAAATGACATCAAATCTTTGGAAGAAGGGTAATTTGCTATATTTAAAAATTGATGGACATTGGGGCTGGAGTGATGGCTCAGCAGTTCAGAGTATTGGCTGCTCTTCCAGAGGACCTGGATTCAATTCCGAGCACTCACATGGCAGCTCATAACTGTCTGTACCTCCAGTTCCAGGGGATCTGACACCTTCACACCAATGCACATAAAAATAAAGTTAAATAAATTTTAAAAAAGTTAAGGGACATCTTCTAACCTGTATGGTATACCTACTTTGTTCACTACCTTGGTCACAAGACCTGCTTTGTTACTTTGTAACAGGTCCTCTGCTTGCTGCTGGCTTAAGATACAGTAACGAACAAAATATTCTCTGCCCAGAAGAACTCCAGTAATCAACGCTCCCTTTTTTGGTTTGGTTGGTTTGAAACAGGGTCTCTGTATAATTTTAGCTGTCCTGGAGGTCCTGTGTAGACCAAGTTGACCTAGAACTCACAGAAATCCTCCTGCCTTTGTCCCTAAGTGCTGGGTTTAAAGGCATGAGCCACCACACTGGCTTTCAATATGACATTCTAATGAACAAATGATGTTCACACTAAGAAGAGTATAGAGAATCGAAGTAGGAAAATAAATTCACTGTGATGGAGATTTGAAAGAAGCAGAGGTGTCAGCTATGACGCCCTCTGAGAGAAAAGTGCTGAGAAGAAGACCTAACGAGCACTAGAAGAATATCTGGGGAGGTAACCATAGGCAGGGAGATGGCTCATGGACAAAAATATCTGATGACCATAACCTGGGTTCAATTCCTGGGACCCATGTAAAGGTAGAAGGAGAGAACAGATCCCATGGGGTTGTCCTCTGACCTCCACATGTCTACAATGGTATGTAAGCCCCCCATCATACACACAGACGTATACACGCAGAGAGAATAATGATAATAAAGAACAGATCCCATGGGGTTGTCCTCTGACCTCCACATGTCTGCAATGGCATGTGTGCCCCCATCATCCACACAGATGTATACACACAGAGAGAATAATGATAATAATATTTTAGAAAGATAATTGAACTATTAGATAAAAGGCATGAGTTTGTTTATTAAAATTTGTACTTCATTTCCTGCCATGTTCTAAGCATAAGTTTTATTGAATATAAAGAGAAAGATGAATTTTTTTTTAAATCAGCATTACTATAAATCTCTAAAAAACAGTGAAAGATAGCTGGGCGTTGGTGGCGCACACCTTTAATCCCAGCACTGGGGAGGCAGAAGCAGGTGGATCTCTGTGAATTCAAGGCCAGCCTGGTCTACAGAGCGAGTTCCATGACAGCCTCCAAAGCCACTGAGAAACCCTGTCTTGAAAAACAACAATAACAACAAAAAATAGTGTCTCAAAACACAACAACAACAACAACAAAAACCAACAGTGAAAGCTAGACTGGTTACCTTTCATCCAAATCAGTACATTTGGGCATATCCACTAGAATAATGAGAACCTACGTAACATGAGGGCGTGTCTCTTTAGCCCCAGCTTCTGTGGTAGCTGAGGTGGGAGGACCACTTGAGACCTGGTCTCAACAAGAAAGTCAGAGCAAATAATTGTTAGTCAGCAATGCAACTCTTTAATATTTATGCTGCAACTTGATAAAACACCACAGTGTCCATCCGGCTGATACTCGCAAAGCCGACGACACTTCCTCCTTGCGAGGGTTCTCGCACTTTAATAAAGTCCCTGAATTTCTCTAACGTATGCACTGCTAGTTGAGAGTCTTGAAGATTGTTTTTTTTAACTTATATTTTCCTGACTGATTTGCTTCTTCAAAACGCTGTAACTTAGCTCCTGGGAATCCTCCCTTACTCTGCCAGCTAAAGATGACTTATCTCTTGCTGTCTTCACAGTCTGCTTTTATTGTCTTTCACAGCTGTGTCAAGATGAAGTACTGTGTCTGCCATACTGTCTTCTTCCTGGTCTGTTGTTTTGTTTTGTTTTGTTTTTCTTTTTCCCAAGAATTTCATAGAGTGAGTTCCATCAGGATACAGATTTTTCTCTGATGTGTTAGAACCTAGATTAGTAGATGGTAAGTATTAATGACTCAAAAGAAAACAGACCAGAGAGATGGGGTATATTGCTAATAATTCTGAAAATCTGGTTTGGAGATGAATGTGAATCATTAATCGTAAAGATAAACTTTTTTGTGGGAAGCATTTGAAATGTCTTTGAAAAGGGAAGAAAATTGTGTAGCAGTGGTAGCACATGCCTTTAATACCAGCATTTGGGAGTCAGAGGCAGGTGGGGATCTCTGTAAGTTTGAGGCTAGCCTGGTCTACAGAATAAATTCCAAGACAGCCAGGGAAACACAGAAATTCTGTCTCAAAGAAATGGGGGGGGCTATTGGAGAGAATAAAAATAAAGTCACCTCATATATATGATTTTATTTAGAGATTGTCCAAAGAACTGAAAACAGTTTACAAGCATTGATAGCCTGGTCTTCCTTTTGCATCAAGAGAAGCAAGTTCTCTGTGGATGCTAAGTACCTGCTTGTCCTGAGCAAATTAACTCTCTTGTCAGATATAGGAACTGTTTAGGTCCCAGGAAAGGTGTAATTGCTGAGTGCGAGTGACGGCCGTTCTGTCTCCCTCAGTGGGAACACTGACTCCCTCAGTGGGCACACTACAAACGTGGGAACACGGAGATGGCTCTGTGAGCCTCAGGAAGACAGTGGTGACCTCTGAGTCTCGCCTGCCTTGCCGTTGCTACCACACAGAGAGTTCTTGGTGAGTGAGTGTTCTACTCTGCTGTGCTTTGCAGACCATCATTAAGTCTATGGGCTGGAATCTGGTTGGTCCTGTTGTCCGATGCCTCCTGAGGAATGGTGAAGAAGATAAAAGAGGAGATTGTCTTCTGATGTTTGATTTGCTGCTGAAGGTGAGTCAGTGAAGCCTGGTTCGAGCCATGAGAACACCCATCAGCTCTATAGTTCCCTTTCGTGGTTAATTCTTGTCTTTGATAAGACAATTTTAGTCCAGGAAATTACTCTCATGTAATGCCCAGTCTTACTTGACTAGATGGGTGGGCAATTCCAGATATAAGAATTATCCAGTCTGAGACCCCTGATTCAGAGTTTCCTGTAGGAGAGCCTAGATGAAGTCCGTTTTAAAGAACCAGTTTAATGCCTTGCTGACTCTTGTGCCATATTAGATCCAGAATTAAATACCCGGTGCCTCTTGAGACATGAAAGCTGAAGGGAGATTACGTGGGGAGGGGTGAAGGGAAGTTATGTGTGTCTGGGGGGTCAACAATAAAAAGTTGTTTGAAAATTCCTTAATAAGACCTAGTATAGGAACTAGAGCCTGGAGGAATAAACACGGATGAGTGTTAGGAACAGAAGGCTCCTTCCAGATAACAGGTGTTGGTTCTGAGGGTTTTCAAAAGCAAAGCAGTGGGCGGGGCATAGCTCTGGAGGAAGTGCAGAGAAAGCTGGGCAACCGAGGTGGTAAGATGCTGTCAGGGTGCTCCACAAATGGCCTGTTCAGGAAGAAGGAATCGCTGGGGCCCTGCACGGAAAACGAAGGTGCCGGCCAAGTTCTGAAGAAGCCTGGGCTGTAAAGATCCTTCTGACTGCTGTGTGGGGCGTTTACAGCTAAGCACATACAACTGTATCTTCTCAGTGTGTCTTCTTTAAAATAGTAATCATGTGGCTTTAAAAACAACTTGTATTAAACAGGTTCAATTGTGAATATTTTTATAGTTATGTAATCCAAAGGAATTGTTGTTGGGTTTGCTTGAACTCATTGAAGAACCCTCTGGAAAACAGATATCCCAAATTATTCTTCTTTTACTTCAACCATTACAGACAGGTAATGAGCACTTTAATATCCAAGTATTTCTTGTTTTATTTGCAGAAGTACCTTGATGTTTACTGCTAATTGCTAATTGTAAACAGTCTACCAAGTAAAGCTTGTGATAAGTCACTGAATGCTCTGCTTTTAGGCTATGACAGTGTGCCGGTGTGGATGCTGGAAAAATTGTATGTCATACTGTTTTCATGGGTATAACTTTTTGGTTAGCTTTAGTTTTTCAATGAAATTTTTTTACATGTATGAGTGTTTTGCCTAAATGCACACTTCTTGCATGCCTGGTACCCTTGAAGGCCAGAAATGGGCATCAGATCCCCTGAACTGGAGTTATAGCAAGCTGAGAGCCATCACCACATGGGTGCTGGGAATCAAACCTGGGTTTTCTAGAAGACCAGCCAGTGCGTTTAACCACTGAGCATCTGGAGCTTTCTTGTCTATAATTTGTGGTTGGGATTTTCCTCTAAGCAGTTAGTGGGTCAGCTGTGGTACCTGCAGCATGCGACCTGCCAGCAGTGTGGTAGCCCCATGTTTTGGCTAAGGACATCAGATGGGGTGTTGCTCAGCCTCTGAACTGGGAGGCTGGAATTAAAAGATACGTCTGGAGAATGAAACGGGGAATGTAGAATGTGAAAGCCTCATGGCCTGGTATTGGCAAATAATGGGTCTCCGCAACCAAGACAGACATTTTCCATGAAAGAAGAGTTACTTTCATTTCAGAAAACATACACTTCAGAATATGATAATGGGACCTAGACATCAGGATAAATTCATTTCATTATGAATGCTCACCAACCTTATACTTTGTATTCTTTTTTGTGTGTGTGTGATCTTTTGAGACAGGTTTTCTCTGTGTAACAGCCCAGGCTGTCCTGGAACTTGCTCTATAGACCAGGCTGTCCTGGAACTCACAGAGATCCACCTGCCTCTGTCTCCTAAGTGCTGGGATTAAAGCTGTGCGCCATCACCACCTGGCATATCTTATACTTCTTAAATATTCAAAATCTTCTAAGGGCACAAAAAGCTCTGTAATAGGTTCTTCCATTTATATGGTGCTATGTAATTTTCCATTCATATCATGTGCTTATAGTAAAAAATAAGGAAAAAGATAATCAGTTATAAAACTGTTTTTTAATTGATTTTCTTATTGCTGTCAATCTGAGGAAGAATTGTTGATCAGGTTAGGGTATACACTCCAACGTGGTGGGGTGGGGGCGGGGCATGGATACAGTCCATCATGGTGGGGGAGGCTTGGCGGCAATAGTGAGAACCTAGCCACACTGCGAGGACGTGAAAGAGTAGTGAGCTCAGGCTATACCACCTCAAAGCTTACCTCTAGTGACACTTCCCTTAGCAAGGCTCCACCTCCTAAAGACCCAGAACCTTCTCAGTGCCGGCTCCCTCTTGTTCTGTGTGCAGCATGCTTACGAGGTGGCCACAAGTAACCACTTGGTTTCTGTTGCAGTTATTCAGAAACTCCCTAGCAACAAGGCATATTCAGTTGGACTAGCACTGTCCACCCTTTGGAGTCAACTGTCTCTTCTTCCTGTCCCATACTCAGAAGAATACACACAGATAGACGATTATGGCCTTTGTCAATGTTGCAAGGCCTTAATAGAGTTCACAAGACCTTTTGTGGAAGAAGTAGTTGATAACAAAGAAAACAAGGAAAATGAAAAGTTAAAAGATGAGCTACTGAAGTTGTAAGTATATTTCGGAGGACATCTCACAGTGGATTGCGGAATTGGTAGCTCAGTTACCTTATGTTTCTTATTTGTCATGTAAATCTTGTTTTGGATTTTGAATTTTAGACAGACATAACATTGACCTGATATATGACGGATGTTTAATGAGGCACTGACAGTGTATAACCAAGTCCTTCACTATTTTACTTTCACCCATCACAGCAAGAAAATACTGAAAGTGGGGGCAGTAGGTATATTTAACTCAAGGAATTTATTTCGTATGTGGGAAATTGTATTTGAAAACAGCAGAAGGCTCACCAGACAGTTGAACATTCACCCTGACCACAAATTCAGCAAAGTGCTCACCCGCTGTCTTTCACACCACAGGTTCTGACTAAACACTGTTCAGTGTGGCTCCCAATTGCATGGCATATGGGTGGTCCAAATTAAGATGCGCCATCAGTACCAAATAGCCTCTAGACTTGAAGACTGGTGTTTTAAAAAGGGGAAGCATAAGCTGGATATGGTGGTGCTCGCCTGTCATTCCAGCCCTCAGGTGGGATGACCTGTCTTAAAACACCAACTCAAAATAAAACCTCCAGAACAAAGAACACACGCCATAAGAAGAAAGAAAAGACAATAAAATTCCGCAATACTTTTGACCTATCAAAATATTTCAGCTATATTAGAATTGAGAAAATAATTTCTCACAGCTTTTCTCAAGTGACTACTAAACAATCTTAAATTGTAAATTATACATGGAATTTGTGTTAAACTTCTTTTGGACAGTACCAAACTTTTTTTTTTAATAATTTGGGAAACTAATGCTGTTGTTACTTTTCTATTTTGTGGTATTAGGGCATTTAAAATTGTAAAGTGAGTTCCAGGACAGTAAGGACTTTACACAGAGAAAACCTGTCTCGAAAACCAAAAAATAAAAAACCCATAGGGGGGAGAAAGTGAATATAGCTTTATGAAAAAAATGACTGTCCTGAGTCTTCCTTGGATTAATGATGGGCACTATCCTAGACTGGTACTGGTCCTCAGACAGACAGACACTCAGAGTCAATTAGAACCGTCTAGAATCAATTAGAACCGTCTAGAGTCAATTAGAACCGTCTAGAATCAATTAGAACCGTCTAGAGTCAATTAGAACAGTCTAGAATCAATTAGAACCGTCTAGAGTCAATTAGAACCGTCTAGAGTCAATTAGAACCATCTAGAGTCAATTAGAACCGTCTAGAGTCAATTAGAACCGTCTAGAGTCAATTAGAACCGTCTAGAGTCAATTAGAACCGTCTAGAGTCAATTAGAACCGTCTAGAGTCAATTAGAACCGTCTAGAGTCAATTAGAACCGTCTAGAGTCAATTAGAACCGTCTAGAGTCAATTAGAACCGTCTAGAGTCAATTAGAACCGTCTAGAGTCAATTAGAACCGTCTAGAGTCAATTAGAACCGTCTAGAGTCAATTAGAACCGTCTAGAGTCAATTAGAACCGTCTAGAGTCAATTAGAACCGTCTAGAGTCAATTAGAACCGTCTAGAGTCAATTAGAACAGTCTAGAGTCAATTAGAACCGTCTAGAGTCAATTAGAACCGTCTAGAGTCAATTAGAACCGTCTAGAGTCAATTAGAACCGTCTAGAATCAATTAGAACCGTCTAGAGTCAATTAGAACCGTCTAGAGTCAATTAGAACCGTCGTCTAGAATGGGATTGCACCTCAGTGTATGGAGCCACCAAGGCATTCTCATGTTTCCTCATTATTGTCACTAATGAGAAAGGATTCATCACGCTTTTTAGACATTTGTGCTACTACAATACTACACTAAGTGAGTTATAATAAAAATGTTGACTTGCAATCCTAGGCCAGGAAGTTTAAGGTTGGGGTGTTAGGCCTTGGGGGAAGCATAGTGAGTTCAGGGAAGCTGAGCTCATCTTTTCCAAACAGCACAGCCCTCCTGGCCTCCCCACCTTCCAGAGGCCCCACTGTTTACGCTGTCACAATGACAGTCAGATTTCAGCCGAGTTTAGGGGACGAACAAGCCATGCAATGCTTACCTTTCACGTACAGCTAGAGAAGAAGAAGTAGATGTGCGTGTTTTGGGAGTGTCGATTACATAATTACCTATTTCTTATGCTCTAGTTGTTTCAAAAGCTTGAAATGCCCCTTGCTGACAGCACAATTCCTTGAACAGTCTGAAGACGGTGGAAATGACCCTTTTCGGGGTTTTGCATGTGAAATAATAGTAAGTACAGCCAGTCTAATCTGTTATAATACTTACTGTAATCTTAAATTTATCCTGCTACATTCTGATGTATTTCATATAGGCACTTAAATTAATAATTCATTAATAGGGCAATAAGTAGCTTTTTTAGAACACTGATAGACAACAGAATGGAAATTAAATAGCGATAAAGTCATTATCCAAAGCCTTCCAAATGTTTCTATTTATATGTTAATAAGAAAATGTGTGTGTGTGTGTGTGTGTGGTCTTTAATGATTACATCATATATACTCCTGTGTATTTTTCTCTTAATACTATAATATAAATCATTGCTATTGATTTAGTAGGGTTTTTTTGAAGATTGTGTGTGAGTGTGTGACTGTGTGTGTGTGAGTGTGTGAGTGAGTGTGTGTGTGAGTGAGTGTGTGCGTGTGTGTGTGTGTGTGAGTGAGTGTGTGTGAGTGTGTGTGTTTGCCTGCATGTGTACTGTGCACCACATGCATGCAGTACCTGTGGAAGCCAGAAGAGGGTATCAGATTTTGGTTGTTAGCCAGCATGTGGGTGCTGGGAGTTAATGTGGATCCTCTAGAAGAGCACCCACCCCATCTTAGTGTGGCACTAAGTGTGCTTACATTGTTCCACAGTCAACCACCATCATCTCAAGATCACACCTTTCCCCTGTAAGTCTGCACTGACAAAGTCCTCACTCCTCACCTCCTCCCTGTCACTCCCTGTCACTCCTGACGTCCTCACCTCCTCCCTGTCACTCCTGATGTCCTCACCTCCTCCCTGTCACTCCCTGGCGTCCCCTTGCCTCTGTCTCCTGAGTGCTGGGATTAAAGGCATGCACCACCATGCCCACTTTCATCTGTGTTTTAAGCTTAGTTTTTATTTTATTACAAAGTGTGTGTCCCAATTTTTTGTGTACACCATATGTGTGCAGTAGTCAAGGAGAGTATTGGATCTCTTTGAACTGGAATTACAGATGGTTGCAAGCCACCGTGGGGGTGCCGGGAACCAAACCTGGGTATCAGTTAGAGCAGCCAGTGCTCTCTGCTGCTGAGCTGTCTCTTCAGCACCCTGAAATGGTTTGCTTTAGCTCACTCCAAAGCCCTCCATCTAGCACTCTGACAATTGGGCTGTCAACAAAACTCATTTGTGTATACCTATAATTATTTCGAGTCTCAAAATTCATTTCGATGTTTCAAAATACATACATACATACATACATCTCTAACAAAGGAAAAACCCTGCCTGGATGTCAGGCCCATCCAGGGCAATCTTCTGAATAAGGGAAATGAACTGATTGAAGACCTTCATTACACCAGCAGACTGCCTGGCTGTCGTAGTCAGTGTTCTTCTGCTGTGAGGAGACACCATGACCACAGCAACTCTCAGGAAAGAAAGCTTGAGTTGGGACTGGCGCATGGGATGCAGGGTTAGTCCATTATTCCCAGAGTGGGGAGCATGGCAGCATGCAGGCAGACGTGGTGCTGGAGAAGTAGCTGAGTGTTTTGCATCTGGATCTCTCAGACACTAGCCCTGCCTTGGGTTTTTGAAACCTCAAAGCCCACCTCCACTGACCATACTTCCTCCCATAAGACCACACCCACATAAAGCCACACCTCCTACTCCTTCTCAAGAAGTGCCACTCTTTGATGATCAAGCATTCAAATGTGTGAGCCTAAGGGTGCCATTTGTATTCAAACCACCACACTCACCATTGGTATTTAAGGCAATCTAATCAGGGAGTGAAAGTCAAAGCAAGAACCACACAGTTCTGTACACCTTCAAAGAGAAGGCACTACACGGGGTGTGAATGTAGAATAAGGGGGCGATAATATCGTTTATTTGCCAATAGCATTCTTCTTTTTAAACCCATTTCACAGGGATTTTTATCACAAATAGGACATCCTGTCCCCAAAATTATTCTTAATCATGGAAGGAAAAAAAGGACTTGGGATTACCTTGAACTTGAGGAAGAAGAAGACAGACAGCTGGCAGACGCCATGGCTTCTCTGACGTATCTGGTGTTTGTTCAGGGCATTGGCATTGATCAGCTTCCAGTGGTCTTAAGGTAAGAGTCAGTGTCGACTCTTGTTTGTTTAATATCTAGTGCATGCATATTAACATACTAGCACACTGAAAATGGCAGTTAGCGATGCCTAGAGTTTCGGGTATCTCCAGCAGCATGGAAAAAGACATGAAGTAAGTGTGTGGCTCAGAGCGGGGTGTGGGTGGAATGGAAAGGCCCAGAGTGTGACAGTGGTCGGTACAGAGACGAATGAAATCAATCAGGTTCATGAAGGAGCACCACACTCTCCACGTGAGTGCTAGGCAAAATGGTTGGAATGGGGAGAACTCCCCCTGTGGAGCTGTGGAGGAAGGGAAGGAAAGCCTTGTGAGCCTCAGGGGCACAGAGTATGGTGTTGAGTCTGGAGGTCTGTGATCTACATAGCAAAGGACAGAGGGGCGGGTGGGCCCGGGGCTTCCTGTCTTGCTGGCTGATGCCGTAGGGGACCTCGAGTGATCTTGTGGGCATACTCTTTAGCTGGGGAAGTAGAAGCCGCAGAATTACTAAACCTCCAAGTGCTAAGGGCTTACCCTTTCTGCTGACTGAGGAAACAACCACTTTGCGAATCACCATGGGTACCAGAGGCTGATTCTGACTTGAACCCCGATCAGGGAACATAGGCTTTAAGTTATAGGAAGTGTGGGCTCCATTGCAGCAGGAACAGAAGAACTTAGAGCTGGGAACTGCATCTTCACCTCTGAGGAGTAAAGCTGGCCATGAGTGTATGCAAGGCCAGGGTTCAGACAGGACCAGGGTGACCAGGTGTGCTGTCACTCAGTGTGTCCAGGTGTGCTGTTAATCACTCAGTGTGTCCAGGTGTGCTGTGAATCACTCAGTGTGTCCAGGTGTGCTGTCACTCAGTGTGTTCAGGTGTGCTGTCAATCACTCAGTGTGTCCAGGTATGCTGTCACTCAGTGTGTCCAGGTGTGCTGTCAATCACTCAGTGTGTCCAGGTGTGCTGTCAATCACTCAGTGTGTCCAGGTGTGCTGTCACTCAGTGTGCCCAGGTGTGCTGTCACTCAGTGTGTCCAGGTGTGCTGTCACTCAGTGTGTCCAGGTGTGCTGTCACTCAGTGTGTGCAGGTGTGCTGTCAGTCACTCAGTGTGTCCAGGTGTGCTGTCAATCACTCAGTGTGTCCAGGTGTGCTGTCACTCAGTGTGTCCAGGTGTGCTGTCGCTCAGTGTGTGCAGGTGTGCTGTCACTCAGTGGCCATGCCTCCTCTCCTCCCAGCATCGATGCTGTTACAGTCAGAGCTCTGTAGACTCTGGTGGAACTTAGCTGCTGCTTGGACATTTCCTGCAGCCATCCTTTGACCTCTGGCATGAAAGGGCATCCACAAAGTGGTTCTTAGGCTCAGCCAGCAGGAGGAAATGAAAGGAGGTTACACTTGCCAGGTTGCTGAGCCGCCAGTGGAAAACACTGGCAAGAGTTTAGGCCAGCGGTAGTGACAGCATATGTGGGCTGGCAGGGAAGCAGTGTGGACTCTGCCTGCTGAGTTTGATGGAGTTGTATTACGTTCCCTCAACATTAGTATCTCTCTTACCTCCACTCTGTAAATGTTTCTGTTCTTTCCGCCATCTTCTTTTTCTTCCCTTCTTTGTCCTCTTTCTTATTACTTATATGTATTTCCAGCTTTGTAATTCTAACCCTCTAGACATCCTAGTTCTTATCTATCCTTATTTTGGGAGTATAGTTATTTCAATATTTTTCTTCTGTAATTAAATATCCATGGGTTTGTTGTCATTACTGGGACCTGGAAGAATGGAACTGATAAATGACGGAGACTCAAGTCCCATGCAATGACTAACTTTATTCAGAGCCTCAGACAGTTTATACTCTGATGGTTAATAACGTCCTCATGAATTTAAGCTGTGTACAATCACAAGGACAAGCCACATGTGGGAAAAAAATGTTTTTCTGTAGGAGTGTATAAAGGATAATTTAAACAGTTACTTGAACAACACCAGTGAGCAATAATGAGTAATCTGAAGTAAACTCACTCCTTTCCACTGCACCCGGGAAGATCACAAAAATACATTCCAAGAACAATTCTGTGTTTTGAAGAAATGGAGGTCACAAGACTCTTGTCTTGTTTTCTTGGAGTGTTCTTACAAACACTCATTCATGCTTCAGTAGCCAGTTCCAAAGATAGTGAAGTGATTGAAATGCCAGAGAATACAAGTTTTTAATGTGGTTTCCAAAATCTATAGAAAGGAAGGTACATCCATGTACAGGAGGCAATTAGAATGGCCAAACAGGAAACTCCCCAAAGGATAGTTTAGATAAAACACCAAGCAAACAGAATACACACACACACACTGCTACAAAAGTGGAGTGCCAAGCTACTTCCAAAGGCAAATTCATCAGAAATTCATCAGACCCCTCGGGAGACAAACTAGATCATGGAATGATATATCTCAAGCTGAAAGTAAATGGCTTCCAAATTTTTTACTATATCCAGGAAGATTTATGTAGAAATAAAGACCTTCCAAGATCTTCACAAGCTAGAGTAAGTCACAACCGTTAAACCAGCACTAAAGAGGTACATTGGGCGATCTTGCACACAGAGAAATGATAGCCACAGCAGCATAGGGAAGAATAAGTCACAAAAAAAAACAGATGACCAATTGAGAATTACTAAACCTCCAAAACAAGGTAAGTTAAAAAGAAAACAGTACCTTAATCAGGAAAACAATAGGAATTAGCCATATACTTCTCAGTAATAACCCTAAATGTAAATTCTCTGAATTCTCTAATTAAAATATACAGATCAACTGACTGTATTAAAATGACATCCAACTAGTTTCTAGTTTTTAAAGCATTTTAAATTGTGTCTATATGTGTGCATATGGCATGTGAGTGCTGACTCCCATGGAGACCAGAGTCACTTGATCCCCCCTGGAGACGGAGTACAGTTGGTCCTGGGAAACCGGCTCAGGTCCTCTGCAAGAACAGTGTGTGCTCTTAACTGCTTAACCATCTCTCCAGTCCCAAACTATTTTCCATCTTTAAGTACTTAGGAGTCAGAATAGGCAAATCTCTGTGAGTTCAAGGCCATCCACAGTATGTTCGAGGCTAACGAGGGCTACACAGTGAAATGCTGCCTTGAAGAAATAGACAGACAGACAAAGAGAGACATCCCACATAGACTTAAAGTATGGAAAAAGATATTCTAAGTGGAATCTGAGCATAAGATGGACTAACTCTTCTTGTATCTGACAATGTAGACCCAAGCCAAAATAATAGAACAAGCCATTTAAAAGACATAATCCCATAAAACAGACAGTACTGCAGCAAAGTAAGTCCAGATTCAATAGCAGGTAGATTTCCACTCCCAATCTCATCAGGAGACAGGGACTCGGAGAACAGAGCTAACAGAAACGTTACTGAGGCTGTATGGTAGGCCAAAGCTACTTAACAACGTCTACAGACTATTTCCCTCAGCGTCTTCAGAATATACATTGTCACCAGCCAAGAAACTTTCTGTAAAAAGACATCACATTCTAAGCCATAAAACATGTCTAAGCAATTTTAAAAACAATTATATCTTTTACCAGATCATAATATGATAAACTTAGAAATCAATAGCCAAACAAAGTACAGAAAATAGGCAAACACCTGGGGATCAATTACATAATACACTTTTGACCATTCAACGTGTCATTGAGGAAACAGGTAATTTATAACTTCTAGGATCAAATGAAAAACAAAATAAACAACTCACCTACCTGAACTTCAGGATATAGGAAAGGCATTCTGAAAGGGCAATCTGTAGCTGTGAGTACCTAAATTAAAACCATAAGTGGCTAGAAAGCTGACTGAGTGTCTAAGTGCTCGCTGCCCTTTTGAGGAGCAGTGGCTCTGACCCAGCACCCACATCAGGTCACTCCCAGCTGCTTTGAAGTCCAGCCCTGAGTTATCTCATGTCTTCTTCTGGTTTCTGTGGGCACCCACACATGTGTACACACACATAAATAAAAATGAAGTAAATCTCAGGTAAATAACTTCATGATGTATTTGAAGGTCTTAGGCAAACAGAATTAGCCCAAAACAAATTTGGTAGAAGAAACTAAATAGCAGGGTGGAAAGAAATGACATGGAGCCTAAAAGAACAATACAAGAGATTGATGGAACAGCTAGTTCTTTGAAAAGGCAAATAAGTTCACAGACATTTAACCAAACTAACAGTAAGATGATAAAATTTACGTACAAAGTGGTGTTGTTACCACTAAATACAGATGACCACTATGAATTATTAAAAACTTATACTCTAATAAGTTGGAAAATCTACAAGTCAGTACATTTCTAGACATCTATAACCTACCAAAATTGAACTGAGGCAATTCTAAGAACCTAAACAGATCAGTATCAAAACATCTCCAGATGAAGAAAAGTCCAGGGCTGTACAGATCACTACTGATCCTACCAGATGCTCTCAGAACTAACTACTTAAGAGGGGAAGGAGTGCTTCTAAATTCATTCTTTAAAGATAATATCCTGACACCCAAACCAGGTAAGAATACTATAGAAAAAGATAACTGGCTGGGTGTGGTGATGTACACTTGTAATTTCAGAATTTGGGAGGTTAAGGCAGGAATCACAGCCCAGAGCATGTACCTAGGGGATGGTCCCACAGTGGGCTGGGCCCTCTCCATATCAGTCAGACTAATTTCACAGATGTAGTCACAGGCCAGTCTGACCAAGGGAACTTCACTTGAGATTCCCTCTTCTGCCATACTTCTCTGGCAATCCCTGTGTGCAACTTTCTGAATTTCCTTTAAAAAGATTTAATTGTGTTCATTTGTGCGTGTCTGTGCGGGAGTGTGTGAATGTGAATGCGGTGCCTGCAGAAATCTGAAGTGGACATTGGAGCCACCTGACGTGGGTGCTGGGAACTGAACTCAAGGCCTCTGCAAAAGCAGTGTAATCTCCTAGCCCCTAAACCATTTCTCCAGCCCCTGAGTTTCCTTTTTAATAGACATGAGGTACTGGATTAGAGCTCACCCCAAAAACTTCACTTTATTTTAACTATACAAACCTTAACTCTAATATTCTTTCCTACTTTAGCCCATCATACCTTTTGCAGCTGAACATGGAACATATTGAACTGTTTCTGCAAAGGTAAGATCATTTAGATGACATCTCAGGATTGAATTGTAATATTGAATAGTCCTTAGGAGAGAGTGGGAACAGGAGGGTCCAGGGTTAAAGCTCATCCTTAGCATCAAGTGTTGAGACCAGGGATGCTACCTGAGACCGTGTGTCAGAAGGCAACAACAAAAGCGGAGTTTAACAGAATTTCTCCTTAACATACACACCAAGTAATTTTCAAACAGTGTTGCAATGAGCCTTGGTGTCCAATGCTAGATCCTCTTTCTTCAGCCTCCCAAGTAATTGCTAGTCTTCAGGTGTGCCCAGGCATTCCAGCTATAAAAAAAAACCTTGTATTTCCATTTTTATTTGCTTTTCCTAAAGTAAGGAACCATCCTAAAAAAATTATAAAACCATAGTGATAATTTTTAATATTTTCTTTCAGAACAGAACAGTCTATTTTCTCTAAAGGATTGGTAAGATTCTTTTGCTACCATTTTGTGTGTGTGTATGTGTGTGTGTGTGTGTGTGTGTATACAGGCACATGCATGTGCACTTATGGAGGTCAGAGGACAACCTGCAGGAGCCGGGTTTTGGGGACCTCAGGCCATCAGGCTTGTGGTAACCCCCTTTCTTTGTTGAGACATGTTACCAGTATCTTTGCTAGCATTATAAATTACAAAAATATGAATATAGCCGTTAACTTCACTGTATGTATATGCATGGATTTTCACTTGTAGGAACTTCTGGAGAAAAGCTTATTGAGATTAGAAGACAACAGCCTCCTTTATCAGTACTTAGAGATCAAGAGTTTTCTTTCTGTGCCTCAGGTAAGTGGAATTTACATCCAAACGCTGAAACAGCTGCTGGCTGGTCCTGAACGCTGCAAGGCAGCCTCTGCCTGCGATCCCTCCCCTTTCCTTCTCAGCCTCTGCCTGTGATCCCTCCCCTTTCCTTCTCAGCCTCTGCAAGTGCTGCTGTAGCTTCCAGTTGAGTTTTCTGTGCTGATGGAAATGGTCTGCCTGCCATCCGTGCTGGCCTTGACAAAAGCCAGACTACCTGTTAGTGGCGAGTAAGACTACAGAACTGAGTTTTAATTTTGATTAACTTATACTTTAAAACACTTTTATTCTTTATGAGTTTCCCCCAGCTCCTAGAGTTAACTTATACTTAGACAGCTATTAACGACCATCCCAGTTGATGGCATGATGGAAGGCCCGGGGAAGCAAAGTCCTTGACCTTGTCCTGACTTACACTCTCAGTCCTCGGTGTCCATCCTGTGTGTCCTCCTGGGATGGACTCGCCTGGGCTCTGTAGATTTTTATCTGTGAGTGTAGAAATTTTTCTTTCCCCAGACAGGGTTTTCTGTGTAGCTCTGTAGACCAGAGTGGCCTCGAACTCACAGAGATCCTCCTGCCTCTGCCACCTGAGTAATGGGATTAAAGGCATGTGCCACCATCACCTGGTTTAGAAGTTTCTTAATAGTTAAATAGAAAGGAGTGTCTTTTGCTACTACATTAAGTTTTATTATATTTAATGGATACATTATGTTTATTATTTTATTCTTGTTCTTGCTATTCTATACATAATTGAAAACTATCCTTCACTTTAAAGTCACACTTAGTCACATCTCATTTTGTGCTGTGTACAGAACTGATTGTAGTCAGTGTGCCACAGACTTAACAGTGAAGGCCAGAGGAGCGCAACTCTGAAGCTTGTATGTCTCCTTCCACTGCCCTTTCCTCTCAACTTTCAGTTTGCATCTAGCACTAATTTTACTTGCTTTGCAGTCAGAATCCATATCTGAATTTAAAATGTTTTTTTCTTTATTTCTAGGGCTTAGTCAAAGTAATGACACTTTGCCCCATTGAGACATTGGTATGTGTGATTTGGGGACTAACTAATGTCATAGTGAGAAGTTTTAATAGATAACTTAATTTTAAATGTCTTTGTGATCGTATTGTTTATTTCATTTCAGAGGAAAAAGGGGTTAGCCATGCTTCAGCTGTATATCGACAAGTTGGATTCACAAGGCAAATACACATTATTTAGGTATGTATGAAGATGGATGGCTAGGCGCTTTTCATTGGCCATGACAAAGTAATTGAGAAAACAAGTTAGGGTGAAAGGTTTATTTGGGCTCAGCGTGTCGTCTGTGGCTGGGTGGCTCCTGTTCTGTGGGCCTGCGGTAAGACAGAGCTCATATGGAGGAGGAATATGGAGGCCATAATGGAGCAGAGCTGTTCACCTCACAGGAAGGGCCGAGGACAAGGCGCATCCTTCCACCTGCTTCCCGATGCATGAGGCTCTGCCTCCTCGTTCCCCTCTCAGGAATACCATTGTACTATGACTCCATCAAGGGTTGATCTATCGATTGGTTTAAGCCTTTAGGATCTCATCAATCACTTCACAAAAGTCTTGTTGATGTTAACATATCAACTTCAGAACATAGCCCGTGGCTGACAGAAACCTATGAGTGCCATGTAATTATGTAAAGGTACACAATTTGTACAGTATTGTTCCAGACCTGTAAGAGCTGAAGAATCAATCAGCTCACCAAGTATTTTGGAAACATGTAATATGTGTTATGTGAGTGGCAATGTGTAATTTTTAGTTTGATTGGAACACTGTAAACTTAAGCAGTCTTAAAGGAATAACTGGGATTGATAATGCTCCTGCTAGAACCTTACCGAGTTCAATAATCTCCATTATTTATAACTGGTAAACCAAGGGTGCCACAAAGATTTGTAACTTTGACAGGTTAGTCACTCTAAGTTACTCTTAGATCTTTCTAGTAGAGTTTAGGTAATGAGCTAAAGATTAGAAAATTTTAGGCTAAATAATAAATACAGGCTTTATAAGGCCATATATGCAGTTTACATGGACATTCCACTGTTCTTATATTAGGAGGTGGGTGTATTAGTCTCTGGCCTACATATACATACACATGACTGGCAGAACAGGACACCCGGTGTACACCCCACACACACACACCCCTGATAGAACAGGAAACCCATTCTCTGGCCTCTGCACACACTGAAAAAATAAAGACCCAGTTGTACAAAATATTTACCAGTTAATGAAAGCAAAAAGCTGTTAAGATGACTGTAGCTAGAAGCTTTTATGCATTCCATGCAGTCCTGCAGCTGGTTATAAAATAATCACTCTGGGGCTTAATATGAATTATACTTGTCTGGACAGTGGCTCGGTCACGTTGCTGACTAGCTCTCACACTTACACCAGCCCATTTCTGCTCAACTGTGTATCGCCACGTGGCTGTGGCGTACTCACAGTATTCTGGCATCTCACTCCTCAGACTTCGTGGAGTTTCTTTCACTCTGCCTTTCTTCTCTCCAGATCTATTTGGATTTCCTGCCTGGCTTTACTCTGCCTGGCTATTGGCAAATCAGCTTCTTTATTAACCAATGGTAATGAAACATATTCACAGCATACAGGGGGCATCCCACATTAGATGACCTTAGTTAGCTAACCACACTGATAATCATTGTCACTGTGAATTTTATATTCTTAGAAGTTAACATAAGGCCCACCTGAATTGTAAACTTTCTTAACGCTAATTATATTGCAGTTTAATATAATTTCATGTGTTATACTTTCAAGGTGCTTATTAAATACAAGTAATCACTCAGGTGTGGAAGGATTTATAATTCAAAATATCAAAAATCAGATTGATGCGTCATTTAAGGTAAGAATACAGACCCAGGTGAGGGGTCAATTATCAATTTAATGACATGTGACCTACATCAATGGTTTACCCACAGTATTTTTCTGTCTGTATTATTAAAATATAATTCCCTGTTTAAAAAGCAAGCACCACCATACTTCCCTGAATTTTGACAACTTGTTAACTATCAACTTAAGCTGTATTACTTGTTTTAGCTGATAATATGGCTTTTGTTGTGCTATATAGTTCCAAAAAATGGAAATTTGAATCTCATATGCATAACCCCATGTAAAAAAAAGACCACCAGTGTTTTCAAACTGGCAAGATGTTCATATGTGTCTGGAAAGAAATGAAATGAAAGTTAAAAATGTTAAAAATATAATAGTTTTTGTAGTGTCACATTATTACAATATGTAAGATTTATCATGCTATTACATTAATTTTTCATGTTTCTTTTGCTTTTCAGAAAACATGTAACAAATGGTTTGCGGGACCACAGCTGATTTCCCTGTTGGACTTGGTACTGTTTCTCCCTGAGGGTGCCGAAACAGATTTACTGCAGAACTCAGATAGGTGAGGTGTGACCGTCACCGGGGCTCTAATAGTAAACTCCATAAACTAAGAAATTGGCAATTGATGATTACATAAATCATACTGAAAATAACAAATTATTTTTTAAATTAACAGGATTATGGCTTCACTGAATTTATTGAGGTATTTGGTTATCAAAGATAATGAAAATGACAATCAAGTAAGTGAATTATTTGGAAAAGCCTGTGATTATATTCTGAATGCATAAGTAGTTCACCTTTTCTTGATTACTGTCCTGAACCAGCATTTATTATTTTTATCCAGCTATAACACTTGGTACCTATTCTGACACTGCTGTTGGTTCCCAGGCACACTTAGCTTTTCACATGTGTTTCCTACTGTGTCTCTGCTCTCTTGCTAGACCCTGTCTTAGTGTTCCATTGCTGTGAAGAGACAGGGTAATAACCACAGCAACTCTAATAAAGGAATACTTTTAGTGGGGTGGCTCACTTACAGTTTCAGAGGTTCAGTTCATTGTCATCATGGAGGGAAATATGGTTGCATGTAGGCAGGCATGGTGCTGGATAAGGAGCTGAGATACATACAACTTTTTAATTGCTCCAATTTATTTTTTATAATTTATTCTTTTAAATTTCATTTTACATTCAAACCACAGTTCTCCCACCCCTCCTCCTGGTCTACCCCCACCTCCCCTTAAGCCCACCCCAGTTCACTCCTCACAGGTGAGGACTCCCAAGAGGAGTCAGCAAAGTCGGGTACAATAGGTTGGGACAGGGCCAAGCCCCTCCTCCATGCATTAAGGCTGCCCATGGCACCTGCCATGGAGAACGGGCTCCAGCCAGCCAGCTCATGTACCAGGGACAGATCCTGGATAGATCAGGAAGTGAACTGAGACACTGGGCATGACTTGAGCATATGTGAGCCCTCAAGCCCGCCTCCATAGTGACACCATCACCTCCAACAAAGCCACACCTAAGAGTTCCACTCCCTATGAGCTTATGTGGGCCAGTTACACCAAACACCACGGCCCTGTTGGCACGAGAGGTGCAGGACTCCTGTCAACTGACCTTGTGGAGCTCCACAGACCGTGAGCCTCTTACTCAGCCTCTTCCGCTTATGTATTAATTCAAGGTTTTAATCCGAGCTATGTGGAATAAAATTATCTTGTATTACCTCAGATATGACAAACTGAAGCATTTAGCCCTAAAACTGAGTTTGTTAACAGTACTTTTTGAATGGTGTGTAGGAAGTTGGGTTCTTTTTTTTTAATAGCACTTCATTAGAAGTATTCAATAAATAGAAAACTATTTGAGGGAGATTTGTCATACAGTAAAATCACATTTCTGCCCACTCCATTCTAATAATTGCTCTCCTATTACCTGTAACCACATGAATCATATTAATCTGGATTTTTTTTAAAGTGATAGGAAGAATGAAAGTAATTACGTTTCATGTAAGAGTGCCAGAAGTCTTTAGTACTCGGGTAGGTCACAATTAGGATGAGAAGTCTCAGGAGCAGCAGTACCTTCAGGAGACCTGGTGCACTCAGTAATTTGACCATTATTCACCCTGGCATAGTCTGTACTAGGGGACTTTTATTGTGAAGAAACTGACATGTCCAGCAAAGCTGTCAGAACTTTACAGTGGTCATCCATTTGCCAGACATCTGTCTTCCTCTCTATCAGTTTTTCATTGTTTTTTGTTTTGTTTTTGTTTTTGAGACAGGGTTTCTCTGTGTATCCCTGGCTATCCTGGAACTTGCTCTGTAGACCAGGCTGACTTTGAACTCACTGAGATCCACCTACCTGCCTCCAGAGATCTGGGATTAAAGGTGTGCGCCACTACCACCTGGCTCTCATTTACATATATGAAGTGACAGGCTTTAAGTGTATAGTCATTAAGTTTTAATAAATGTGTAGATCTGTTTATCCAACTGTATATCAAATTTAACAACAGGTGTTTCCATATGTTCTTCTCACTGACGGAGGTGACCACTATCCTGGCCAGCAGCTGTATGTCACTCTTCACAATGCTGAAAGAAAAGTACTCTGTTTCCCTTCCCAGTAACCGTTCTCTCACAGGAAGGATCAATAATTTGCTCAAGGGTAGATACCTAGAATGTAATACAAATTAGCTACCACTCCATGTAGAACCTTTGAAATTAAATTAACCCCCGACTCCTCAAGGCACTTATGGTAAAAACAGAAAAAATACAATATAAATTGAGTGGCATTGGGCCTTGGGGCTTTGGCCGGCATCCTTAGGGACGGTATGAGCTTAACCTTGCAGTAGTCAGGAAGGCTGGACATACACGAGAGATGTGATTTGGTGGCACAGGAGTCTCACTGATTAGCAATGACAGGAGTACTTGCTATAGAGTGCAGCCCAACACAGGGTCCAAAGTCTCTGCTTGGAGAGGGAAGACAGTGTCTGTTTCTGACACCCATAGGTGATACCTTACTGCACTTCCGTGTGGACATTTTATAACGTAGGAAAGAATACAGCCCGCTTAGAGGGCTGCCTTATTTAATGTTTGCTTTCCCCCCAGGGAACCAAATACTGGTTTTTGTTTGTTTTTGCTGTGTGCTGCCATAAGGGTTTCCATACCAGGGAAATGATTAGTAGAAGTCCTAGTCTAACTTGCCAGATTGATGCCTTGTGTGCAGCTTAGTAGCCTGTCTGTGATGGAAACATTCCTAACAGAGAGGATAAGCAAATATAACCACTGTGGTTAACAAGTAAGTGACAGCCCCCTCCAGGTGTGATTCCGCTGAGAAGGATCACAGTTCTAGGCCAGCCGCAGTGTGAAGTAGGACCTAGTCTAAAACAGGAAGAGTAGCTTCTGGCTTGGCTTACAAGTTACAAAGTAATACTGTGGTGATTGAACTGTGGGCATTGTACTTGGAGGAACCCCACAGGTTCCTATTTTTGCCCACTTAGGTGTGCTAAAAGATGGAAAGCTAGAAAGTCAGAAAGGCGCACAGGAAGAGATAGAAAGCCATCGCAATGTAAAGACAATAGTGGTTCATAATGAGTCATAACTGCGCTCTTTTCTGACCAGCCTCTTCACTTTCCATGTCCCTGGCTTACTGTCCCCCCTTAGCTCCCTGCATGCTTTCAGCACTTTCTTCCTCACTTCAGCTTCCTGTCACTTTAGACTCTTAAAGATGAACATCTCCATCTCTAACTTTTATAGCTCATGCTCTCTAATGTTGGGTCTCTTTACATAGTTATTACTTGTTTTGGATTACAAGTTTATTCTAAAATAGAGCTGTAATTGTGCTATTGCTTACCTTCTGTCCTTTTCACTCAAATCCTTTCTAATGCGTTTATTCAAAATTAAAACGTGCCAGGACTGGAGCTGTGGCTCTGTGGCAGAATAACCGTCTGTCACGAGCTCTTGAATTCAGTCCTTAGCACCACAGTAAGAAGTGAAAGGAAACAGCCCGGGTGCATAATCTGCAGGGCCGCGCGGCTAACATGACTATCCCTTACTTGCTACGGAAGGGGTACAATTAATTCTGTGATACTGTTTAATAAGTAAGACATATGTTAGGAGAAGGGCCAAGAAGGGGACATGGCCATGCCCTTTTCCATGTCTTAGTTTTATTATGGTTGACTCTGCCTTTGCAAGATTCCTACCTGTTCCAGAACCCATTTCACGGTGGTGCAGAGATGCCTAGTGGGGTTTGGTAGGCTGCAGTGAATCTTTAATGCATAGTTAAGACAGAACTGCTAACCCAGTGACGAGGATATGAAAGGAAAGGCAGACAATTGAGAGGATTTCAAAAGTTCAACCCTTAGAAATCAAAGATGAAAGAAACCTTAAACTTCTTTTGTTTAAAAAAAATCTGAAAACTTTCATGTAAGACAAAGAATATATTTTTAACTCCATAGCGTCTTTACTCCTACATGCTTCTAAAATCAGTACAGTTCATTATAGGAAAGACTGGAATTATGCTGAACAGCATGTGAAAGAAATTTTCTTTAGCCTAATTTTGAAGGCTGTTTTTTTATTAGTCGGTGTTTTAATGTTTGGACTACAAATTAAAATAAATTATGGCCTTTAGCTTGATGCTATGGCTTATGCCTGTAATTACAGCCCTTGGGAGGTGAGGTTGGCAAAGAAAAAGAAACTGAAGTATATATACAGTTACGTCTTTTTTGTTATTTGTAAGTTCATGTTGTTTTTTTAATTTACTCTCCTCTCCTCCCATTCTTTTCCCTCACTCACCCCCATCCACTCCTCCTGGGTTTCTGTTCAGAAAGGGGTAGACCTCCCATGGGTGTCAACAAAGCATGGCATATCAAGTTAAGCTAGGTCTAAGCTCCTCCCCTTGTATTAAGGTTGGTTAAGGCAAGCCAGTATGAGGAATAGGTCACCCAAAGCCAGCCACAGTGTTAGAGACAGGCCTGCTCCCACTGCTAGGAGTCCACACCAGGGGAGGTCGGGGGACAGCTTTTGGGAGCCAGCTCTCTCCTTCCACCGTGTGGTCTCAGGATCAAATTCAGATCGTTGGGGCTGGCAGTGAAGGCCTTAACCCACCGAGCCTTTATGCAGTGTGCAGTGCACTTCTGTTTCAGTGGGTTCTTCTGGCTGACACACACCATGACTTGGTGTTAACAGTGCCTTAACGAGCAGGACTGTGATAGCCATTGTCTCTTCCTGCTGGTGCACGTTTATTAACAGAAGGCATCCTGTATGTGCTGAGCCAAGTAACTGATTTGTTCATTAAATCTTCTCAACAGACTGGATTATGGACAGAACTTGGAAAGATTGAAAATAATTTTTTAAAGCCACTTCATGTAGGACTTAATATGTCAAAAGCACATTATGAAGCAGAAATTAAAAACAGCCAACAAAATAGCCAAGGTTGGTAGCATGCTGTCTTATTTTCCATTAAGTGCAAAATTAAAATTGTGAAATGATCATATTTTTAAATTATTTGTGCCATATGATTGTATTTATGTGTGCCATATGAGTGTATAAGCCCACGGAAGTCAGAAGAGGGTGTTGGATCACTTGGAAATGGCGTTCCAGGTGCTTCTGAAGCTCCATGTGGGTGCTGGGAAGCACCCCAGGTTCTGTTGGAATAGTTAAGTGCTCTCAGCCACTGAGCCATTTCTCCAGTCCCAAACACATTTCAGTACATGTTCAAAGAAGAAGGGGCTATGAGAGCTGTGTTTGTGTAACTAAAGTGATTCTTAGCCAATAAAGAATCAGTTCACCTGTTAGATAATCCTAGTGTTTAGTTGTATTTGTAACAAATATTCTGTAAGGTGTTACCTCTCTGACATATATTTTAAAATTAGTAATGATTAAAGTAGCTTGTAACTATTATTAAAATCTGAAAGATGACAAGATTGCTCCGTGGCTATAGGGGCTTGCCATCTGTCAAGCCCCAAACCTGAGTTCAATCTCTGGGACCCAAGTGGTAGAAGAAGAGAACCAGATCCTCCAAGTTGTCCTGTGGCCCCACCCCCACATGTCCCATGCCACACACCCACATACACACACACACACAATATATGAATAAATACATGTAATAAAATCTGAGCGTTGGGGCTAGTGATCAGCTCAGCAGTAAGCATTTGCCTAGTGTGTTCAAGGCTCTGTTTGAGTCCCAGCACCACACATGCACGCACGTACACACACACATGTACTGAGACTCTGAGAATTGCTGTAGTGGCTAAATATGAAATGTTTTTCTCTTCCCTTACAGTAGCCTCAACGTGTAAAGGTGTTTGTTCTGTGACTGTAGGAGGAGAAGAAATCCCTACTATGCCTCCTGAAATGCAACTTAAGGTAGCCTCCAAAATTTTAAGCTGCATTCAATCTGAGGCCTGCTCTTTGCTTTGCTTTAGAGCAGCATTAATAACAGATTTCTATGGGTGCGGGGACGTAGGTCTGGAACCCCAGCAGTGGGGAGACTGACACAGGAGGGACAGTCTAGTCTCAGAAAGACTAAAGTGATCACAGCAATGCTCTTTTCTTGGCATTCCAGGTCCTACATTCAGCTCTCTTCACATTTGACTTGATTGAAAGTGTTCTGGCTCGAGTAGAAGAACTCATCGAAATCAAAACAAAGTCTACCTCTGAAGAAAACGTTGGAATAATGTAAAGTTGTTTCATAAATAAAACCCAACAAGATGGTGTTTTCCAGTATATTTTAGACTGTCATAGAAATTATTTGCAGAATTATTGCTAAAGCAACACAGCTTTTGGAAGTGGGGGCGCCTGGAGAGATACTCACTGGATAAGAGCACTGGCTGCTCTCAGAGGAGCTGGGTAGAGTTCTCGGCCCCACATGGAGGCTCACAGCTGCCTCTAACCCCAGATGCAGAGGATGTGATCCTCATGGTCACCAGGCACCCATGGATACAGATACACACATGCAGGCAAATATCCATACACATAGATCCAATACAAACTAATTTGTTTTATGACATCAAAAAATGTTGTCAAAATGCTCTATTGTGAATTTATTAAAAACAAAACAAAAACTTTCTGCTTGTTGGATGCATTTGAACACTCTGGAGCACCTACTACTAAGCTGGGTACCACTCCACTGTGGAAATGTAGACATTCTGACCTCGGGACAGTTGGTTTCTTTTTTTTTTTTTTTTTTTTTTTTTTTTTGGTTTTTGGAGACAGGGTTTCTCTGTGGCTTTGGAGGCTGTCCTGGAACTCCCTCTGTAGACCAGGCTGGCCTCGAACTCACAGAGATCTGCCTGCCTCTGCCTCCTGAGTGCTGGGATTAAAGGCGTGTGCTACCAACGCCCGGCTTGATTGGTTTCTTAACTTTCCTCCCTTCCCATGCCTTGGAAGCAGTCTTACAGAGTGTCGAGTGTCTGGAGTGCACTGGGAGGTGGAGGAGGATAGTTAAAAACCACATGAAACCCGTCTCAAGAACCTTGAGATGCCGTCTAGCAGCTATATATGAAAGTGCCTGCAGACATTGTTTTTAGAAAACCCCAAAACGTACATGGCTTTAGTCCAACTAGTAAATGCTGTACTTCCGTTTCTTACTAGAGTTGTGCATCCAACTTGGGTGTCATTAAGCAACTATGACTTTTATTGTATGTACCAATTATTTTTCCTTGTTTTTCCATGGTTTTTATAACAAGGGTATGTGTATGCCAGGGTAGCACTGTCCCATGTATTTACACTCCAGATCACTTAACCAAACTCTCAAAAGAAAATCATGTTTAATTGTATACATAAATAGACATTTGGACATTATAATTTAGTAAGTTTGATTGTTCTGGTATTTTTCTAGAATAACACTTATGATCAATACTCTGAATTTGCACTAACTGAATCAGTACTCAGTTTTATCTTTTGAAGTGTTCTCCAAACAGGACTGTGCTCTATGATGTAAGCTTTAGTTGTTATCATTCTATAGCAGATGCTATCTATGGTTGGCTTGGAGGTTGTCTGAAAGAAGATGTAAACATGTAACATTATTTACAGAAACAGTATTTTTGTAGGATTATATTTTTAAAAATTCATTCTACTGGAGTGGTGGTTTGTCTTGGATCCCCTCACTTGGGCTAACAATGCTTCTAAGAGCCATAAACCATCTAACAAAGACCCCAACCCCAGGCATGAGAAGCCCTCTTTTGAGTTGTTGATCAGGGTTGTCCAAGAGACTCCCCAACATTACAGGCTATGGTCATTGCCCTTGGTTGCCCCATATGTAGAAGGCAAGTCCCTACTGCTGAAGGCAGTATGTACTTCAGACACGGCCTTGAGGCCCAGAGCTGGAGTGGACCCGACAGCTTTCCCAAGGACTAGCTTTCACGGTACCAGAAGATACCATGCAAGCTTCCAAATGAAGGAAGCAACCAACAGTCCTACCCAGTTAAGATGCTTATGAACTACAACAATGACCAGCATGGCTTTGTAGCCATAAAGGTGCAATAGTGGCACTCATGTCTTAGCAGGAACCATAACTGCAAATGGACTTACGACTAATCAATAAGAGGGAGATCACACTTGCTCCTGGGAACCTAGTCAGCTACCCAGGACTGGTGAAGTCATGGATCTTGGAGGAAAACCTACGAACACCAGTTTAATAAACCAGCATAATACCTAACTACTTTAAATATTTGTCCTTCTATCCACAGACAAATGTAGTCCTTGTCCGTCATCAAGAAAACTTCTCTTTCCAAAATACAAGAGATCATTGCAGAAAACCACAACCGATCAAGAGGCAGAGTTGAGCCTACTCTAAATGATACAACTACAACATAACTCCTGTACCTAAGGCTCAGGGCTCATTGCAAAAGAGGTCAAAAAGACTTTTTTTAAAAGCCAAAAGAATGGGGAGTTTGCTGTGAAATTGTGTCTCCTAAAATGTCAGAAGCTACACCCATGAAGCCGCCCCAGGGAAAAGCACCCTCACTGGTCATCTAATACTTGGTGGCCAGCCTGGAAATCACATTAGTAACATGAAGGGGATAAACAGGTCATAGTTATTTAGGAACACATGTGTAACCACTAAAGGAAAAGGCCACAAATTTGAAAGAATGGGGATATGTGGGAGGACTTTAAGGGATGAAGGAGAGGGAGATAATGATGCAATTATCTCAAAATTTTATTCAACAATGAAACCTTGAAAACTGTTGCCATCATGTGCATTTGTGCATGAGTACCTCCCTCCCCGCCAGGTGACTTACCTTAGCTATAGTGCACATAAGGTCAACAGCGTTTACTGTGTTGTGGACAGGCAGTATTCGTAAGCTACTGCCCAAGAATCTGAAAAGAGAGTGATTCAGTAACTGACTCACGTTTGCTGTCATCAGCAGGACAAGGAGGGAGTGAGCTCCACTGTCCCATGCTCATCCAATCACATCCTGCATTGTGCCTTAGGAGATCTGAGGTGGTTGTGTAACCAGAATTCAGTGCTCACTTTGGGTTGCTTCTGTAGGTCAATCATCAAGTCAACTCTATAGTCACCCTGGCTTAAGGAACAGCTGTCTGCCCTGTTTGATTACATATGACAGGTTATAAAGTTTATCTTCTAGCAAAACAAAACTCAACTGCCTACAAGTATTAAGAACTGAAGTAAACAAAGCAGTGTCAAAACAAACGGGAAAAAAAAAAAACCCTGAGCTGTGCTTTGCTTCCATACCTCTGATGAATCCTGAACATGAGAGCCCATTCTTCAGGCCCATGGAGTGGAGCAAATAGAACCAAAAAGCTATTCTGGTGAATGTTAATAAACTTCTCAATTTTGGTTAGAAATATTTCCTCAGCTGATATCACACATTCTTTAGCATCCATCAATAAAAATGCAACTCCTAGAAAAGGTAAAGATAATGTAGTGAATTTCATAAGCTCATAAGATCAGGGACAAACTCACAAGGGATAGAATTTGTTATTATAATTCTTATTTAACAAAATAGTTTGGTTAATTCTTTGGCATGCTCTTTTTTTTTTTTTTTTTTTTTTGGTTTTTCGAGACAGGGTTTCTCTGTATTGTTTTTTGGACCATGTCCTGGAACTCGCTTGGTAGACCAGGCTGGTCTCGAACTCACAGAGATCTGCCTGCCTCTGCCTCCCGAGTGCTGGGATTAAAGGCATGCGCCACCACCGCCTGGCATTTGGCATGCTCTTATAGCAGAATTACTGTTCTAAATAGTTAAAGGAAAAACAGTGGCCAGTAATTTTTTTTCCTCCCAAGGCACTGGGCATATGAAGATGATGGCTCTTTTTAATTAGAAGATTAAGTCTATTTTAAAAGTTAATCCTTTGGCTGGGCGTTGGTGGCGCACGCCTTTAATCCCAGCACTTGTGAGGCAGAGGCAGGTGGATCTCTGAGTTTGAGGCCAGACTGGTCTACAGATCAAGTTCCAGGACAGCCTCCAAAACAATACAGAGAAACCCTGTCTTGAAAAACAAAAACAAAAACAAACAAACAAAAAAAGTTAACCCTTCAAACCAGGTGTGGTTGTGCACACCTACAATCCCAGCATATGAAACACTGAGACAGGAGATTCAAGGTGAGTCCAAAGTCATCCCGGGCTATACACCAGCCAGAACTATATAATGAGAACTTGTCTCAAAAATATTTTATACTAAAATATTTTTTAAATCTTTTACTGGCGAGGCTGAGACAGGGCTCAACAGTTAAGAGCACTGGTTGCTCTTTCAGAGGAGCCGGGTTCAACTCCTAGCACCACATGGCAGGTCTCAACTGTCTGTAACTCTAATTCCCTGGGATCCAACACCTTCACACCAATGCACACCAGGAAAGTTAAAATAAGCTATTCAAAATCATTTACTGGCTTACTCCTCCCTCCCCATACCCATTATCTTATAAGTACTCCATGTGTTAGCAACTTGGAAGATCATGCATGTATTGACTTTCAAAAGCTAGAAATCAATGAGAAGGGTGGTTTAAAACAAATCTTCAATAACTTTTTGTTGAAGAAACCTTCCTACAAGATCAGGGATCATATAAGTTAAAACATTCCCGTGAGCAGAGAGTTGGTATCTGGACTGGGGTTAGTTACAGCTGTCAGAAGGTGCAGGCGAGACAGTCTATAGCGTGTGGTTACAGTGACTGAATGCCTTTGTACATTTTACATGACCTCTCTTTCCTCATTGTCCTCTTCTAGAACATGGAAAGGGTAATCCTTGTGGGACTGTCAGAGGGTTAAATATACAGATGATAACGAAAACGTAAGGTTGCCAAGAATATTTGATGTTTTTCTCTCCAGAATGTTTTCTGTTCAGTAAAGAGGGATGATCTGACCTGGGTAATTTTCACCATGAAGATCTTTCTAGATGATCCAAAAAGCACCTGCCTTCCAAAAATCTCTGCAAGAGCAGTAAACCTCCTAACAGAATCTTCTCTTTCTTCTTATTTTGAGGTGGTCTCCCTGTGTGGTCCAGGTTGGCCTACCCGCAGTGGGATTGCTGGCTTGGTGTGACCGTTCCCAGACTCAGAGGCCTCCCCTCCTCCACCCCGCTTATCACTTCTGTTACTTCCCGCGCACAGATGGAGCTGCACCTCCATATTCCCTTCTCAGCCTAATTTAATCCTGTACTTTGCTCATGACTCACATACATTTTTAGAATTTCAGGAACAGTTATTTGTCCCCGAAAAGTTCTTCACTGCTTTTTTTTTTCAGTAAGTAAAACTAATGGGAAAACATCATATATTGTTTGGGTATGCAAATTTGGCAAAGGTATATTGCTGGCCTCTGTTAACAATTTATATTTACTGTTAGGTGAGAGGACGTTTCTATTTTCGCCTGGGTTTAAAAGTAACTTCCAGACTCCACTTAACCAAAGGGACGTCTCCTCGGTTGGCCAGATGCACTGCGTTGCAGCAAAAGCAAAAGCAGCCCATTTACTCTATTGAAAGATAGCACACTGAGCTATTACACTGCTGCTGAGCTCCAAGCTTAGCAGAGACACCCACATACTTAAAGGGAACTTAAGTAAAGGCAGTCAGCAAATCTACCGTACCGGAGAGAGAGAAGACAACCGATCCTCTTTCCAGCGTGTCTGAGTACCGGACCTTGTGCCTTCGACTTTCTAGGGCAGTTGCAATCTCAGAACTCTTAAAAGAATTTCAGAAACAAAAACATAAGACATGCCTGAAATGGTTTTTATTACACTTAGTACAAAAGTAAGTGTTTAACAGTTTATCACTGTTCCACTTAAAGATTTGTCACCAAACAAACAAACAAACCTACTCTCTAGGGCAAAAGACTGAGAGAGGAGTGAGACCATTCTTCTCTGGGACAGAAATGGGAGCAGCGTTGAAGAGCTAAAAACTACGAGAACCAGGGGAAATCCTTTTTATTTATTTGTTGGTTTTCCAAGACAGGGTTTCCTTATGTGGCTCTGGCTGTCCTGGAACTCTCTGTAGACCAGGCTGGCCCCAGAAATCCACCTGCCTCTGCCCACTTCCCCTCATCTGCCCCTGCCCCTGCATGCTGGCATTAAAGGTGTGCATCACCACTGCCCGGCAGGGAAAATTCCTTTTTCATTTTTAAATTCATCTATTTATTTTATAACCCAGTTCAGCCTCCCTTGCTCCTCTCCTCCCAGCCCATCTCCCCCATTCTCCCCTCTTCCCCCCCCCCATCCCCTCCCCTTCTGCCTCCATCCCAGGAAAGGAACCAGAGGGGTCGAGGATACCACAAGAAAACTCCACAATCAACTAACCTGAGCTTTCACAGGGGCTTACAGAGACTGAACCAACAACCAGGGAACCTGCATGAGATTGACCTAGATAACACTGCATGTGTGTTAGTCACAGTTGTGTAGCTTGGTCCTCTTGTAGGAGACCTAACAGTGGGAAAAGTGGCTGTCTCCGAATCTTGCTGGGTTTTTTTGGGAGATTTCTTTTTAAAAAATGATCTGGCTTCGAGACCAGCCTGGACTACCAAGCAAGTTCCAGGAGAAACCCTGTCTCGGAAAAAAAAAAAAAAAAGATCTGGCAATGGGTTCTTCTATGCATTAGTGAATAACTGGAAGAAGCTGGGAACTGTTTCTTAGATGGCTGAGAGGCCCATATATTACACACAGAATATCCTATAGGTGACAGCCAATTTCCTAATTTGTGTGTTTACATTTACTGTAGGTGAGCCAGAAAATATACAAAGGCAGCATTACTGTACTCTGATTTAAGTGTTACCATTCAAAATAGTTGCCTTACTTACTATTCTACCTAAAATACCAGATCTTAGCAATGAAAGAGCCAAAACCCAAGTGGTTACTTTATCTCCTAATTGGTTAGAGCCCAAGCTGTCAGCCTCCACACTAAAAAGAAAGATCCACTACCGAGGTGCTAGGGGGATGGATCAGTCACTTCCTGGGCAAGCATTAGTGACTACGTTCACATCCCTAAGTCATAGGAACAGTCAGCTGTGGCCACTCATGTCTTAACCCCAGCTGGACACGAGAGACTCTGTCTTATGAAGACAGGGAAGAAAAAAGTAGAGCAGGGCACATCACATCCTCCGCTGGCCTCTGCACATGCATGTACAGACATTTGCATCCACACACATGTACACATACTCTACATACATGTGCACACACATGCACACACCCCCTTACCTTAACTAACTTTACATTTTCCTTCAGAACAACATAATCTAAGTGTGCAGTCTAAAATATCTGCTCCTTTCTTTCCTAAAGAGAGTGTTCTATGTTACTGAGGCTTTGTCCTGGAGTTCAACCATGGCCCTTTATTGTGTGGATTTAAATTGTACACTGCTTCCAGCAATGGCAGAATCAGTAATTTAGGTCAACTCTCCTGCTGAAGGAACTTGAAAAGTGACAGTTTGAAAACAAATCTGTACAAATGCATCAAAGAGCTAGCAGGGTATCGAGAAATTGTAAGGCCAAGTTCTTTACAGAAATTCAAAGACGGGACCCCAGCATTTAGGACATTTCTTCCCCAAGGGCACCTGCCAATTCAAGAAGGGCAGAGGAAAAGCTGAGGAGAGCTTTTGACAAAAGTAGAGCAGCTCTCACAGGGGAACAACCAGCTTCAAACCACTTCAGTCCCTGGCACCGGATTAAGGTGACACTGAATCGCTAGGACTTACAGCGCCTTGGAGAAGCATTTCTCAGTCAGGGCTCCTCAACGCCCACAACAGGAGAAAACTCAGTGCTTGCCTTCCCAGTTCCCCCAATTAGTACAGCTCTAGATGCAGAGGTCAACTAATAACACACAGCTTGGTTTGCCAAATTCAGCAAAGAAAAACTCAGTTAAACTTGAATTACAGATGTAAAAATTGTTTCCAGTGCTGAAAATCAAATCAGGAGCCTTGCACAGGTGCTCTACCATTGTTTGGTGATGTAATTTAAAATATAGCTTATGTATGTAATATTTAGGACTTACGTTAAATGCATTATTCATCTAAAATGAAATTTTCTGTTTTGCCTGACAAACCAAGCATCAATCTAATTCTATTACAGAATTAAGGCCTTTATAGAAGAAGAGTATATTCTTCTACATATATTATAGACCTCAAACTACTTGTACAATTTTTAAAATATAAATTACAACACACCCCACAAACACATTAGCCAAATGTACAGATATAAGTTTACAAGAAAGAGAACCACCATAAATAGTACCTAATAAAAATGGGTTCACAGGGATCCATATAGTTCTGCTTTCTATGTTCAAGGGGATGAAAGATGTTGAAAATTTTAGCTAAGAACAAAAAAAAAAAGGAAGGATGCAACAGAGTCAGCAAAACTACCTAAAATGTTAATCATACTTTAAAATAAAAAAAGGAGTTTATCAGCCAAGTGGTGGTGCACACCTTTAATCCCAGCACTTGGAAGGCAGAGGCAGGCAGATCTCTGTGAGTTCAAGACCAGTCTGGTATACAGAGCGAGTTCCAGAACAGCCAGAATTACACAGAGAAATCCTGTCTTGAAAACTACCAGCCAAAAAAAACCTTGTTCCATTTGTTTATACATCACAAATAAAAATATAGTAAGCTTCCTGAATGTACAATCTTCAAAGCTAGTATCTAGAAATCCTCACACGAAAGGAAATACAGATTCAGACAGAAACAGGAAAGAGCACTTAAGGAGCAAGAGCTCGTTGAAAAATGAGAAGGGCCGGGCGGTGGTGGCGCATGCCTTTAATCCCAGCACTCGGGAGGCAGAGGCAGGCAGATCTCTGTGAGTTCGAGACCAGCCTGGTCTACCGAGTGAGTTCCAGGACATGGTCCAAAAAACAATACAGAGAAACCCTGTCTCGAAAAACCAAAAAAAGAAAAAGAAAATGAGAAGGATTCCAATATGGAAATCTTCCCCGTGGAAATGGAAAATTTCAGAGTTCAACCTGACAAATTTAACCTCTACAACATGATGCTTACAAACATATAACTGGTGACAATACACTCTCAGCAAAGCATAAGACATAGCAGAAGGAGCCACACGTTTCCCCACGTTTCTTAAGACATCAGGGACACAACAACGTCATCTTGTACCTCCCTCCCCTGCATTTTCCAGTTCATAGCTTGAGCCCAGGACTTTGCAAATGATAGACAAGTGCCAGGTTCAGGGGGAGTCTCCAAACCTTAATGTCTAAGCTGCACATGCATATGCAGACTATAAGGATAGGGTAGACTACAAAAGTAAACAGCTCAACTGTGCAAAACTACAAAAGAGAAAACCACAGCCCCATCTTTAGTAAATAATGTCAAAAATAAAATGTTAGCAAATGAAATTTTAAGGGGATAACAAGAAAAATCTACAGTAGTCAACTCTTTTTAACAAAGAACCACAAAGATTTCACTACTTAGGATCTTTTTGGCAAATAACACAAAAGTGCGTTTGAAACATGAACATTTCTGAATGTGCAGAGACGACCAGATCATGGGGGTTATGATCGAGTATTTAGTGTACTGATGAACCCAAAATCAGAATACACTAGCAAGACATGGCAGTATATGCCTTTATCCCCAGCACTTGCCATGCCATGGCAGGAGGACCAGGAGACCAGGAGCTGAGTGCCGTCCTCAGTTATAGCATGTTGGAGGCTAGGCTCAGCTACATGAGGCTCTGTCTCGGAAAAGTAAATGAAATAAGCAATAAAGGAAATATAAAAGAGCACAGGGCCAGGAATGGCAGCACACACCTGTAATCACCGTGCATGGGAGGATGAGGGTAGGAGGGTTAGAAATCCCAGGTCTTCAGCTCCAAAGCAAGTTTGAAGTCTGAGCTAATGAGACCCTACCTAAAAAAAGACACTAACATTTCCAACTTGCCAACATTTATGAAAGTAGGGTTTTTGAATGTGACTGCAAAAATGTACATAACTTTGAAATACATTTAGCATGTTTACTTTCAGTTCACGTAACTGGATTCTTAAGCCTAAGATCTTTCAAAAACACTGTCTGTCTTACGTGAGGTGCTTCAAGTTTTGTAAATGGAGACCAGTGGTCTAAATACCCCCTTACCTTGAGAGATGAGCTGATGATAATGGTGGTTGTCCATTTTAGTCTTTCTTTCCCTCCACTTGTATCCATTGATAGCCTTTAGATAAACCCAGATTCTAATTGTGCCACAATCTGAGAAAATGAAGAACAAAGAAAATACATAGAAATGTTTGATGAGTAAATAAATTTAACACAGCAATAAAACATCAAAGTCAGACAACGGAGGAAGTGTCTGGCTGAACACTTGGCTACTTTGATCCTAGGCTGACCTCAAACTCACTCTCAGCTTCCAGGTGCTGAGATTACAGGCATAACACACATATCTGGCTCTTGATCTTTCTTTTAACACTGAGACGCAATTGCTGGTAGAGCACTAACCTAAAGAAACTATGACTTGTGTTGAAAACTGTCTATCCATTTATAAACCAAAGAATTAGCCTACCAATATCAGAACACAAATAGATGTAAAGTTTTTACGCACAGTAATGACATCACAACATCTTCAGCATTAGCGTTTTCTGGCAACAGTTCTAAGCCCATACCGTAGGGTCACAGGACAAAGGCCAGAAGATATCAGAGCACATGTATGTTGTGATGTAGGATGGGAACCTGGGGTAGTAATCCTCAACCTTTTATAGGCAATTCTGAACCCTATTCTGCAGACAAACCCCATCTCCAGTGAAACATGCATAGCTAGGCACCAAACTGTTTTGGGTTTTGTTTTTTGAGACAAGGTTTCTCTATAGCTTTGGAGCCTGTCCCAGAAGTCACTCCAGGCTGGCTAAGAACTCACAGAGATCCACCCGTCTCTGCCTCTCCAGGGCTGGGATTAAAGGCATGTGTCACCACCACCCAGCCCAAACTGGTTTTTATACAATTCTCCATAAAAGAAACTGGGTTCTTTGGAGAAACAGTTGATTGCAGAACATAGACAGGAAATATGTACGAGGAGCCAGAATTCTGTATTGCCCAGAAGGACATGTTTAAAAATAAACTGCGTTAACAGGGATATAATGGCAGAGGAGGCCAATCAAATGGCCAAAGATATGAGTGGAAAAACAAACAAACTGTGGTGGTTTGGATAAAGATGGCCCCCATAGACTCATAGGCAGTGGCACTATTGGGAGGCGTGGCCTTGCTGCAGTAGGCGTGGCCTTGTTGGAGGAAGTGTGTAGATCGGGGCATCTCACATGCTCAAGCCCTCCATTCTCCTTCAAGCCACCACATCAGACATACTCTGCGTTATTTACAATTTATATAAATCTGAATGTCCTAAAGATAGCTTACTCGGGACTGAAGGGATGGCTCAACATGTGAGAGCGTGTATCAGTCTTGCAGAGAGCCTGAGTTTGATTCCCTGAAGCCACAGAGGGATCTGGTGCCTCTGGTCTCCGTGGGCACCAGCATTTACATGCCTACACCATATGCAAAACTGAAAAATAATCTTTTAAAAAGCAATTTTTTATGCACATGGGTATTTTGCCTGTATGAATGACTGTTGTAACTTAAGAAAGGCAGTGGAAAGAGGATGATGCCAGGAGCCAGGATTCAAGCAGAAGGGTTTTTTATTAGAGAAAGGGAGCATAAAAAGGGGAAAGGGGAGGGGGAGACTGGCCACTGGGGACAGGAGTGGCAGAAGAGAAGAGAGAGGAGGGAGGGAGGCAGAGATAGAGAAAGAATGGGAAAGGTGGGCGGGGCCCTTTAAAAAGGGGACATAGTGAATGTGCACAGGTGGTGCTCTCAGTGGCTGCAGCCGAGGGCTCATACTGTCAGGACCCCAAGGACAGGCCAGTACAGATGCCTGAATAGTAATAAGGTGTGCCTGGTGGCTGCAGAGCCAGAAGAGGTCAGACCTCCTGGAACTGGAGTTACAGACAGTTGTGAGCTGCCATGTGGGTGCTTGGAACTGAACTAAGGCTCTCTGGAGAAGTAGCCAGTGCTCTTTACTGCCGAGGCACCTCTCCAGCTTCCAAACAATACAGCTTTAGAATGATAGAAAACAAAACAAAAAAATGTCTACTCCAGGAAAATAACCTCCAAAGGAAATGGGACTTGTTCAGAAATTCCTTACTCTCTTGAGCACTTAGCATATATTTTTTTTTACAAAAGGATTGTTTAGAAGTGTATTTTATTATCTCACCAGCTAAACCATATACTAATGAATGTCAACTAAGCTGACATCCCGCATGCTACCTAATACAGAAGTAGTTCAAAGCAAAATTTAGAAACCGACTAATGCAAACGACAGTCACTTTGGGAGACAGTGTGTTATGTTCGTGTCCCCGAAGGCAGTCTCCCCTACTTCCGAACAGCTCTGATAATTACCGAGTTCTTCCTGCTGAGTTAAAGACCAGCTGCTCCACGATGCCCTCATTTACTGCATGAATGAGTGAATGACAAGCCAGCTGAGCGCAAGCAACGACATCTGGGATGCATAAACCAGCACTTGATACAAGCGGAATGAAGTGGATTCGCCTCCCCACACCCGCTACACACAATGAGGTGGCCAACGGTGGCTAATTAATAATACACTCGTAGGACGCATGCGTGGCAAGGTTTGCGGTTAGATTTTTGAGCACTGGCTGGTGCGAGATCAGTAAGGGGTACGGTTGTTTAACCCTTCACACCCTCATTATTGGTTTTGGAAACTAACTGGGAAGTGATTTATTTATTTATTTAGAGACCTGACAAGTGGGAAGAGAATCGGGGTCAGCCATTTCCCAAAGGTGCACCGATGAGGATCCGAAATCGGAAAACCAGGGAGGACTGGGGGGGCATCGCTTTTCCTCCGCATTTCCACCGGAAGAGTAGGCTGGCAGTCAGGGCGCGAACTCACTCCAGAGCTACTTAACTTGAGCCAAATCACCTGACCTCGAGTTGGACCCTACTTCCTCTTCTAAAAAAACAAAAACAAAAAAACCGGAAATCTTAGACCCTTAGGGCTGGAGGCTGGGGTTTTAAAAGCACAGGCTGCTCTTCCGGAGGATGGGGCAAGTTGGAGGCTTCAATTCCCAGCACGTGGTCCACAGACAGACACGAAGACAGCATTTCCACAGGCGGAAACCAGAGAACAAAACAACTCAGACGCAAAGCCCTCCTGGCTCCGGCTTTGTTTAGTTTTGTTTTGTTTTCCAGGATGGGGAATAGTCTTCAGTGGGACCACGTGTGGGGCTGCGCCGTCACTTCCTGTGAGCCACCTTTCCGGCTGCTGCCGGGGCCCACGGGGGTCTTCCCGGCATCTCCCATGCCTTTTTCTTGGGATAAAGGACGACGGATAAGGGGCGAAAAACACAAATGCACGGGGGCCCACAACCGCCCGAGAGGCAGCGGGCTCTGCACCCCAGGAACTTTCCCGCCTCCCGGCGAGCACGGGCAGACTCCTTCCTCGCGCCACCAAGCCCTGAGGGACAGAGAGGACACCACCGCAGCCACAGGGAACCCCGACGGAGAGGCAGGGCCGCCTCCGCCATAAACACACCTGGCCTTGGGGCTCCGCTCGTCTCCCCAGCACCAGGCCGGAAGCGGCTTCGCCAGGCGCCTGGGACCCCCGCCCCCAGCCGCGGTGCATGCTGGGCCTGGGCTTCTGTGCGCAGCCGCAGACCCGACTCTGCTCCCCGGGGAAGATTCTCACAGGGCGTGGTCACCCGCGCCTGCATTGCCCTGCAGAGGCAGGCGGGTCTCTGCGAGTTTGCAGCGGTAGAGCCAGGCAAAGGCCACGCCACAACAGTGAGGAAGCAAATCAGGCCTGCTGCGGTATCCCAAAAACTCCATCGCCAGGCTGATTACTCTGGTCCTACTGGAGACAAAGTCCAGGGCACCCCAAGAGGTCCTGACGATTCTTCAGCTCCCCTCCCTTATAAACCCTTCTCCACCTGGCTCCTCCCTACAGCTCCCTGTCAGCTCGTTGCTGAGCCAGCCCCCTGACCCTGACCACAGGTGAATTTTATTTACTCAAACCCATCAGCTTTGCATCATTAAACAAATGTTCCAGAGCATAAACAAAAGTAACACACCTGAAAGCAGTCTGCAACAGGATCTAACACCAGCACACAGACATACATGTAGGCGAAATGCCGGTGTACATAGGATTAAAAATAAATAATTAAAAAATGAGCTGGGCGGTGGTGGCACACGCCTTTAATCCTAGCACTCAGGAGGCAGACACAGGCAGATCTCTGAGTTTGAAGTCATCCTGGTCTACAGAGTGAGTTCCAGGACAGCCAGGGCAACTCAGAGAAACCCTGTCTCAAAAATACAATGTAACTTGGTGCTATGTACATCGAATATACACTAGTTGGATTTTTATTTCTTATTTATTTATTTATTTATTTATTTATTTATTTATTTTTGGTTTTTTTTCCAGACTGGGGTTTTGAAGGAACCAGACCCTCACTCAGCCACCTGCTTTAGCAGCCATGACAGGCTACAGAAAAGACAAAAGGAAACTCCAGGTCCTCTGGCCTTTCAGAGCCTACGGTCAAAACTGAACACAAATTCTAGACCATCCCCCCCACCTCCTAGATACTTAGTTCCTGGGAACTGTTTGGCTACAAAAGAAACTCCAGGGGGGGACCTAAACCTCCTAGGTAGTCTCCAGGATACGGTTCTGAAAACTATTGGTGTCTATGAACAACAGGCCACCTGCAGGTAACAAGACAATGCCATAGAAACCACAGAATGTTCCCTCTCAGCACTGACCAATGAAAATAATTGGTACACAGGTATTTCATGTCAAAATATGATGGAAAATTCTCCTGGTTGTTCCCAAATGTCAACCAATCAGAAACCAACCTGCACCTACTGATGTAATCCTGTAGCTTTTGTCTTTAAAACCTAGCAGTAGACAGGGAACTTTACTCCCTCTGGAGGCTGCTGTGTCAGCTTGCTAGATGGAGTCCCTGTCATGGTTGGATGGACAATTAAAGCCTTGCTTTTGCAGTTTGGTGGGTCTGTCTTTCTGGTGGTGTCTGAGGCATCTTTGCAACTAGGGCAAAACAGGTTTCTTTGTGTAACAGTGCAGGCTGTCTTGGAACTTGCTTCGGAGACCAGGCTAGCCTCTGCACCTCTCCAGTGCTGGGATTAAAAGTATGCACCACCACCCCCTGGCAGATTTTTTTTTTAAAGAAATGTTA